AATTATGAAGCACATCTAGTTGTGATGTGCTCGAAGGAAATACTCAATAAAGTTGAATCGGTTATTATTTATCCTTCAAATTGGAGGTTCGTTCGGGCTTAAAACAAGGTGATTCTCTTTCACCTGTCCTATTTAATTTGGCATTAGATCATGCCATTAGAGATGCGACCCATACCGAAAAAGGTTTGAACCTCGGTGGAACAATAACCGTTCTTGGGCATGTTGATGATTTGGTTCTGTTAAGTGAAATTATGGAAACAATAAAACTAAATACAACAACGTTGATGAAAGCCGGTAACGAACTTAAACTCGAAATAAATACGGGTAATACAAAATATATGGTTAGCTGCAAAAACAGTGACAGTTTGGATGATATCGATAAAGAAGGGTCTATGATAACCAGAAAAAACGAAATTGAAGAGGATATTAAAGTTAGGTTGAAGGCGGGGAATGATTGTTATTTTTCTTTGTCAAAACTACTTAGCTCGCGCCTGCTGTCCCAAATCTTAAAAATTAGAATTTTCAAAATTGTTATCCTTCCTATGGTTCTTTATGGATGCGAAACGTGATCGTTTACATGAGCAACGTCTTAAGGTTTTTGAAAATAAAGTATTGTGCAGAATATTCGAAACGAAAAATGACGAGTTAACTAGAGACGTTGCACAGCGCTGAATTGCGTGAACTGTATTCGGTTAATATAATTGAGATGATTAAGTTGGGGGGAATAAAATGGGCATCTAAAATCGCTGGGCTTAGTAATGACAGAATTCCTAAAACGATAATATGCGCTGTATCGACTAGCAAGCTTCCAAGGTGTAGACCAAAGTGACGGTGGGAAGATTGGGTTAAGGTTGATCGGGAAATTACTCCCGCAATCCATGAATTGTGGTGACAAAAACCAAGTTTTTTTCTATAAATGACGCTTCAGTTGTGATATGAGGTTTCTAAGAGAAATAACATATGCAATAAATGTTGTATTGACCTCGTGTTTGAGTGATTTACTAAAGTTTATGTATTTAAATAGTTTTTACCCATAGTTCCTGAAATGTCTCAAATACATCTTTATTTCTTTCTTTTTTTTATTATAAAAATCAAACCGTCTATTATTCACTTAGAGGGGAGAATAAGAGTTCATTTTAATCTGCTTTTCAGAATAGAAGAGGGCAGACTAAAAATTCATAATGAGGGTCAGGAGGCCATACTTTAAAAAATAGACTTTATTATACATTGAATTCATTTTTAAATAATTAAAACGTTTTTGAGGAACAGACTGGCAACTCTTCTTCAATGAGCTACCAAACATTTTAAAGTTTTTTTGAGCAATAAATTTTGCGTTTACTCATGTGAAGACTAACATTTGTGAATTTCAAAACAATGCGAAAACAATAGAATATAAATTACCCTGCTGGTCTATTGGAGTACTAGACAAAAATAATAACAAATATTTTAATATAATAGGAAAAGTGTTTATTTCCGTTGATTAAGATCGAAAAATTTATCGGTTGCGAAATCCGCCTTAACTTATTTCCGCCCTCTTCGAATATTGTACTGTGCTTCTATTTTGCTAAAATTTCTCTAAATTTTACTTTCGAGCTATATTATTTTCAATTCATGTACAGTTATGATACACTCATGTAGGTGAAATAAAGTTATTCATATATGTATGATTTGTACAAGATTGTAAAATAATCTTTAACAAATAAATTCAATTCAATTTTCAATTCATGCTTGAAAACTCACAACTGCTTCAGTCCAGATCGGAAGTTTTGACGTAATTTGATGTTCCCCAACTTTTTTATTTTCTTCTAATAACTCATTTAATAATACGAGGGTTTAATGGCGCCAACATTTTTGAAGGGAGTACATTTTGACGAGGTTTGGGATTTTTTATTAGATCCCAAATAAAAAATCTAATAAAAAATTTTCGACGGGGTTATGAATTTTCGAATGGAAACTTTCAAACCAGGGGAGTTGAGGAAAGCATAGAATAGACCATTGAAAGTGTAATTGTATATGACCTATGATTTTTAAAATTCTACTTTAGCTTGCATTGTTATTAAGAACAAGAGAGCAATAAAATATTTTTGGAGATTAGAGAGGGGGAGTCATACGCCATCGATCTTGGGAGAAATGGACACCCCTAACGATCAATACATTGTATATTTGTTATTACTGAACAAGCTACTATCAAAGTGGGATCCAAGGATTATATGAGTTTAAAGGTGCGTTTTATACACTTCACAAACTATGGGACAAACAAATGGTTATTTCACTATGTTAGTATTTTTTGTTTTTGTTTTTTTTATATTTTCCATCTACTTTCGTTGTCAAGAGAGATAAAATAAATAGTTTGGTTTAGCAATAATGTCGCACTTAGTTAAGTAAGATCAGTAGTCTCAAAACGTTTTGGTCCGCAAAACGTTGGGTCACTTTGAGACCTCCGCTAACTCTCGCAGGCCGCATTGAGGCCTCCAATATATTCCCGCGGGCTAGTGATGAAAAAAATATCTTGTTTTATAAATGAAACTTCAGCTGGGAATTGAGATATCTAAGAGGAGAAAAACACAGAATAAATGTCGTAACCTCGTATGTTAGTAATATGCTAAATTTCTTATTTTTAAATAGTTAGATACTTGCGTTTCCTGTAGTTTGTAAAATGTTTAAACGCATCTTTAAAAGAACACCTGATGATGGGCACCTATAGATAGTATTTCTCAATGAATTTAGACTCTAATTAAATCGCTGTCCATCGCTGTTGGATTCAATCGATTGATAGATACTTTCGATGGAATTACCGCTCTTTTAGGAACTTGTCCCTTAGTTTATTTTAATTGATCAAGTTGCTAGATCGCCACAGGTGGATCTAGAGAAGGGGGGGGAGAAAGTCAGGCTGAAGCCTCTCCCAAAACTCCAAAATATAACCATGTCTTATGAAAAAAATTATCTTTAAATGTATAATTGTTTGTGTAATTACATTTAATAGGACTTCAAGAATCACTTAAACACCATTTCATATAGGTAGTTAGTTCCTTTCTTTTTCTTATGAAGCAATTATCGTTTTATATTTATAAACTTTCAGGCCGAAGCCCTCCCCCAAATATTAAATCCTGGATCCACTAGTGTAACTCAGGATGGTATCCTTGTGCACTAGCGGATCCAGTATTTAATTTTGGGGGGGGGCTTCAGGACGAAACTTTTGTTTTTCTTAAAAATGACGATAATTACTTTGGAAAAAGAGAAATAAACTAACTACCTACATGAAATGGTGTTTAAATGATTCCTAAAGACCTTTTAAATGTGATTACATGAACAATAATACTTTAAGAGATAATTTTTTTCCATAAAACATAGTTACATTTTACCATTTTGGGGAGGCTTCGTGTCCTTGTGTCCAGTTCAGAGACCAATCCCATGCCATCGACGGACTTAGCACTGAGTCTAGAAACTTCCTCATTGTAACAGTCATTAGGAAGGGAACCTCCTCTTGCCGGAATTGTTTGACGTTTCTCACAAAATAAGTTTTTGATTATTCTAGGTGAATTAGTTGCTTGACTTCAGAGATAATTTTATATAAATGGATTTTAATTTGTTTTTATAATCTACGCCAGTCATTTCAGTTTTTATATTGCTTGTAATTAGATAACTACAACATTTGAGGTATGTTTTCTATCATTTTAATCAGTTTATGAATTACTTTTACAATTATGGTTTTAGATTGTATAGGACTTTTTCTACTGCATTATATTTTTATCTCTTGTATTTTAAGTTTGATGTAGTCTGTAATTAAAGTGAAATATATTTAGCATGCTAATGTATGTCCACCCCTTTGTTCAATGAAGTAGCTTCTGATAGTACACTAAGTATCAATCAACTATCTCATTACTTGTTTTCATTTAAAACTACCAGTAGTGATAACTTTATTCTAAATACTTAAATTACATAGTGATTTAGTGGTTATCATAACTGTGTTGATATCATTGATAGTGGTGTATGTTATCAATATAACATCATGATAAAAGTATTAGTGTTCGATCCCTGCAAAATTCCTTTGCTTAGATGTATTTAGCAGCATATAGATATTTTGACATGAAAAGATGAACATTTCTCTTCATAATTATAAAGTATTTAAAATTCGAATACAACTTTTTTCTCTTAAGTTTTTACTTATGATTGAATTATATGATATTGGCAATGATTATTAAAATTCGTAGTAGATTTAAATTGTTTTATATAATGAGATCCGGTCCGTTACCAATTACCAGTTATGTATTGCTTTAAGCAACTTTAGTGCTGTAAATCTGTTAATATGGTCTACTTGTTATGTTAAATGTTAGAACATTTTTTTGAAATAATAAATTGAACATAAGTTATTTTCATTATGTGGTTTACAGTACTATTTGCTTATCGAAATCTCACATTACCAATAAAAAGAAGAATAAATTAAATAAAATTATTTTTTATCTTCTATCAAGAACTGATATAAAATCATATCTGAATTTTTATTATACATATTATTCACTATCTACATGAGTCTTAAAAGTAATTTAATAGCCACAATATTTTATCATGTCAATTCATTTTTCATTTATATAGTTGAGAGTTGGGAAATGAACATTTGTTTTGTAATAATACAGAATTGTTTGGTTAATTTATTCATAACTCAAAAATGTTTAGTTATTATTTTTATTAATGATATTGGTTTGATTATTCAATTAATAAGTCACCATAATCCAGTTATTGGCCTCTGGAAGACTAAATACAGCATTTACTTGATGTAAGATATTCCCAGATATCCCCTCACTTCTTTCATCATATCACCATGCATTTTTTTATTCTTTACTTGAATATTTGTTTATCTTGTATATCTAAATCTATTATTCTATCATATTTCATTTCTTTTCTGATTTAAGTGATCTTAGATTTTAATAACTTTTTACTATTGATATGAACATAAAATTTCAGTCAATGTTAATAAGTCAATCTATTTCTTTCTTTTTTAGGTGTTGACAAACCTGGTAACAGTGCAAGTGCATTATATGATATCTTATTTGACAGTCCTGTGATTGGTGGATCATGCCGTTCCTGTGTGCAGCCTCGAATTTACAGGCTTCCAAGTCAATCATTTATTAATATCTCTTACGGAACAAGAAAGTCTGGCAAAGTAACTGGTAAAGTATCTCCACTCATGTTTCAAAGTATGATGTATATATAGCAAACAAATCAAATTTTTTAATGAGTTTTATGTATTTTATTCTATCGAAGTTTTTATCTTTTATAATGTGGCTTCCTGTTTGTTTTAAAATCACCTTGGACCAATGCCATAGAAAAAAAAATCTGGTGCGACATAACTTTCACTTACCACTCTACTTTGAGTGAAAATAGGTCTTTTCTTCATTTTATGCTTTAGGTTCAAAACATCTAAGTATGGGGCAGGTCATGTGAGTTATTTTTTCATGTGAGTTGAGGAGCTTGAAAAATTGTATATTGTGTTCAAATCCCGTTTGCGGATATTAATAATAGACACAAAAAAAATAATTAAGTGCAGGCCCAGTACTCGACTTAGACTTAGACCACCACAACGCGGTTTCGATTCCCGCATGGAGACAGTAAATTCCCCACCCTGAGATTCATAGGGAGGTGAGCGACTCCTGTGTCTTAAACCATAGCTCCTGGTCCTCCAGGTTGAGGGTTGGGTATAGGGCTTATAATCCGCTATCCCATAAAAAACTGGGTGAAAGATTGAAGCACTAGATTGCCAACCAACCTGCAGGAAAGTTCCTGATGAAGAGGAAGTAAACAGTTTTGATTAACCTTGATGTATCAATGTAAGATTAAATGGTCTTTAATATCAGTTAGGTCTTATCCTCATCGAAGTAGTCTAACAGGGCTTAAATACCCAATGTTCAAAATTTCTTCCTCTGAAGTATCTTTGATTTCATTAATGTTAAATTATTACCTTTCTCAAAAGAAAGCTCAATATAAAGTATGAAAGAATTTAATAAGATTAAAGGATCAAAAAGAAAAAAAATGTTTTTTAGGAGAAAAATGAATTTCTGTAAATAGTAGTCAGAATGTATAATTATAATATGATGTTGGAAAGCTGAGAATTTTAGAAAAAAACAGTATCTGACACATAAAGTCATAGAAGATAATGTACAGAATCGAAAAAAATTATTCATATTAATTTCTGAAAATAAATAATATTAAATGTATCATATAATATAAATGTTATTAAGGTTTAGCTCCATTAAAAAAAATTCACTTTAAAGACTTTTTTTAATAGCCCAATTTTGTTACATCATAATTTCTATCCAAAGTGTAGCAATAAGTGAAAGTTGTGTGATGCACGCACCAGATATTTTTTTATTTCATTTTCAATAATGAACTTTTGTAATGGAATAAGACAAAAAATCTATAACAAACGGTCAACAATCATTTGAACATGTATTGACCCAGGAAAAATATCAAGAACTTTTTTCATTGTTACAATTTTGTTATGTTTGCTCCTTTAAGTTATGAGGACTTTTCAAACATTGCATTTTAATCACTAGACCCATAGTATCTCGTTGTGTTGTATATCTTTCCTTTTGTTTGTCAATTATTTCTTCAATTAGCTGACTTTATTTTCATAATTTGTAAGTCTTATCATTTCGATGTGATATCTCTTTGAAAAAGAGATGCTTTTGAATTTCTTATTTAACAAATAAGAAGTATTATGGTTTTAAAAAAATTCTATCTTGATTTTAGTTTCTACTGCTCCTAAAATGGCCCATGTCAATCATACAAATCTTGGTAAGTACAAACTTAATTCAATCTTAAATTAATTTTAGATAAATTGTGATTTATCCTTATATTTATTTAATGCCTATGTGTATGTTAATATTTGATTGTTTTATTTTGAAGGAGAACCTTGGAGAGCACAAAACTACCAAAACCCTCGAAGTAAGTATTTAGTTACTTATTAATAAAAATTGTATTTTCCATAATTAGTTTACTCTTGAAATATGTCATAATTCAAAATAGTTAGGTACAGAAAAATAATAATGATTACAAGCATATAAATATATTAATTATATGTACACAAAATTCTAGAACATAATTTTCTGAACAAATTCTAACACATTGGTTCTTTGTCACTCTTAAGCCTAGTAGTAGTACCAAAGATGTTCATTGTAATGTAGTGTAGGTTTTGTATATATTTGCCTCCCACTCTTGTCAGGAGTGTTTCTGGTCACAAGTGTGTTCTCTTAAGGAAATAATACTCATGACATTTTTGTTATTTTTTTTAGTACAGTCACAGAGAATGATTAAAAGCTGAAAAATTAAGCCTTATTCTCAGTAGGTGAGAACTAATGAGCTAAAAATGACAGTCACAGTAAAGCAAAATAAAATGAAGTAATGATCTTAATGATAAGTTTAATAAAAACAAGTATCCTGTAGATTAACTCCTTATCTACACTACACTCTTTAGTATCATTTATAAAGTTCATATTCATAAAGTAACACTTATACTAAATCTCTGATTTAAATTTATATTGAAGAAGTCCAAAGATCACTTCAACTCAAGGAACAGAACTGGAATGTGATGATTCTAGTAATATATTAATGCTTTCTTAATATTTTAAACATTTGGTATTTGGTCGAAATTATTTATGAACTGCGTAAAATTGTATTTATTTTGAAAATGACAATTATCATTATTTTCAGATGAAAACAGGTTTTACCAGATCCCTAGGAATAGAGAATTTAATCATCAACAAAGTAGAGAACTTAATTTTCAACAAAGTATCCCTCAAGGTAATCAATTTAATTTTTTTTTTTTTCCTAAATCAGAATATATTAGACACATATCCTGGTGTTTGTTCTAATAGTCCTTAGAGTCAATTAGAAATATTTTATAACATTAAAAAAAAAGATTGTTTTTGCTTTCACACCCAGCATAAATAATTAATTAAGGGAGAAAACCTGGCAGTTGAGCGTGATCTCTGCTTGATTACCTCGCTGCACAACCATTGGCCTAGTAACAGTACTTCCTCACATTGTACTGAACCAAAGACCCTTCATGGGTTGTTAGTAATACAGGTTTTTTTTCCTATAAGACAGAACAAAAATGGATGAGTTGTAAGACAATTTATCTGTGCATGTACAGTCATACTTCTCAGTAGTGGACAGCTGCCGGGAATCAAATTTTTCCGCTTTATTGAAATGTCCATTTTAGAGAAACCAGAAGTAAAACATGATAAGCAAAAACTAAATCATAAAAATCAGATAAAGTTGTCTACCTTAGAGAAAAGTCAGCTATAGAAAAGTGTTTGCTGTTAAGTAATACAGTACTAATATATTACATCATTAAAATAAAATTTCTTTTAATTCATAATTCTTGTTATTTGTGTATGTTTTAGATTACATTAAACAATTTTCTCTTAAAAATAATCAAATAACATATTTACTTTTAGGCAATGACTCAGTGAAGCAGTTCCTTCAAAGTTTTAATCCTGGAAATGTATGTTGATCGATTATATAATTTATTTATTTATTATTATTTTTTTTTACATTTACTAATGAAAGGTGTGAATGGTATTTTTTCATATAGCAACCATCATTTCCTGCCAGCCCGGTTCCCCCAACTAATAATAGGCAGTTAGGTGCCGATTCAGAATTTAAAGCTATGTGGAATTTCTTACAGGTAACACCATAATTTTACTTTCTATTTATATTGTTATATTAAAATTTAATTAACCTAAGACACACCAAGGATGTTTATTGCTATTCTTAAACTTTAATAAGTTAAAGTTTTAATATTTAATTTTCTTATTATTAGAACCAGAAAGTACCTGACGATAAGTCTTTGCGACCTATTCCTCCTACAAAGATCGCTACATCTCCTAGTGAAACAGTAGTTGAGGTAGGTAACCCATTGTAATCTATACCATTTGTATATCTAATCAAAATTACATTTATCGTAAAATTAACTTTTTTTTTAAATTAACTAATTTTTATTTTGTCAACAGCAAACCATTGCTCTTCGTAAAATCCTCAAGTTGAATGAAACACCAGTCCTACCAGTTAATCAACATTTCACTCCTGAATTTCAACCTCAACTGATGCAGCATGCCAATAACAGCAATCGAAGGGTTAGCAATATGGTTCCTCACAATACCAGTAATTTTGTTTTCAATCAAGGGAGTGTAAGTGATTTATCAGATTCCATAAAGTGTATTGACGTAATAGTCATTTGTATCGTCGGTTTATTGCAAAAAGTCACTAAGTGCGTTTTTGATATACTTTAGCTTTTAAATATGTTATTTTCGACCTTATTTATCTATTTAAAAGTAATGGCAAGTGCGTGAAAATGACGCACGCCCTTTTATTTATCTCATATAGTTATACTAAGTGCACAATTTTCTGAGATGACGAAATGTCAATTAATGACTTTTTGAAATAAATTCATGATATAGATACAATGTTATAGTATGGAAACTTAAGTGACTAATTTATGATTAAAATGATTAGAAAGAAAAATGAATTTTTTTTTAAAACAAAGACAACTTTCAAAAGTTAGTTTTGAATTTTAGCATAATTGAGTTTTTACTTCATTTCATTCTTTACATAAATTAACAAATGTCGTTGCTATACCACTTTAATGAAATGAAATCATGAGCTTTATAATTTTAAGAATGGTCTATGTCGGCGGTCTCTAAATTACGGCCTGCGGGCTGGATTCGACCCGTGAAAGCTTCTTTCATTACATGGTCAAATTTTAAATAAATTTAAAAAGATATAAATTGTAGTAAATCATTCAAACACGAGGTTACTAAAATATTTATTGCATGAGTTCTTTTTCTCAGAAAGCTCATATCACAACTGAAATGTCATTTATAGAACAAACTTTGTTTTTAACCACAATCCGTGGCCCGCGGGACTTTTTTAAGGTCTCAATGTGCCCTGCAGGCCAAAAAGCTTAGAGACCTTTGGTTTATGTCATTGGTGGAAACCTTGCAGCTTTCATTAAAGCTATCTATTATTTAAAATTTGACCAGTGTTCAAAACTTTAAAATAAGTCTGATCTGCCCAAAAAAAAATCAAAGCAGGGTATACATTAGTCACTAAAAGGAACAATATCCTCCCACTATTGGTTATTGAGATGGAACATCGCCCCGTTTAAAAATTAATGTATTTCCTATCCAAACTTATTTCATGAAAAGTTATATGTTTATATTTATAGTTATATAATTTGAACATTAAATTTCTTTGTTTCAAGATACAGGTTTATTATTCTTATATACAGTAATAATAATAATAATAATAAACTAAATCCTGCAATGAAAAAATAAAAAAGTTATCACCTTTACAAATACCGTATAATTTAAATGTTGCCTCTAATGATGAAAATGTTTTTCCATCTATCAATTGGGACACTTCTAGTCAATTTTCATTTATGTTCACTTACTGACATTTATATCTGTTACTGACATTAATTAAATGTTTAAACCAACTGCTGCTCCATTTCAAACTGCAGATTTTAAATTATTTTCTTGTTTGAGAAGGAGTTGGTCAGGGGTGCAGTGAAATAAACAATAAATTTTAATAAATAATATTTTTAATTGTTTCGCCCTGAAGTATTTTTTAAAAATTTAGTATTTATTTGACCACACCCTCCGACCAACTCCTCATATTAACCAACTCCTCAGGTCAACCATCTCTATATCATTATTTTCTTGTTTTATTAAATGTATTAACATTTTGGCATTTCATGTGAGAGTGAAACTAACTGATTTTTCCATAATAAAGAATAATATTTGTTGAAAACTATGCCATGAGTAATGCCTCTGCCAAAGAAGTCTGACGGTCCATATTACTTTCAAGCAAAACTATTTAAATATTAAAGAAAATGTTCATAAGCCATTATTCAGCCGAATCCTTCATTATTTGATTCACAAATTTATTCAACTACTAATGACATTTTATGATTTTTGTTATAGGAGTTATGTTTCTGGTATTCATAAAAATAATAATTTGGTATTTTATTTATAGATAATGAGGCCAAAGACTTGCAGTCATCTTAATTGTGACCTAGAGTTAAGGAATTTATGTGTTAATAAAAGTAAGATTTTTTTATTTATATTATTTTAATATAATTAACATTTTATTTATTTTGTGTATCTTTTCATTGATGAATTTGTTCATGCTAAGTTAGTATGAGTACCTATTAGGTTCTTATAGATGGTCATAGTAATATAGGCCTGGGTGGTGAATCTTATAAAACCAATTTTTTTTAAAAGCTAGTGGATGCCATTAATCCATAAAAAATATGCGTAATGTTTAATTTTAGAAATTGTTTTAACAGATTTTTTTTTCATATTCTATTATAATTAAAATCCTTAAAAGAACTTGGCTCCAGTCATTATAACATTTAAACATTAGTTAAAATTAAATAATAATATCTTTTAAAGTTTAAATACTAAAACCAAAGATGATAGTTTTAGAATGCTATTAAATAAATTTATAAAGAGCCATTTTTCAATTTCAGATCTCGAAGGACCTAGATATAGTTTTAAGCCTTTAGCATCTTCTGGAGAAATATCATGTATTTTAACATTTCCAAATGATATCGGAAAAGTTATTGGAGATTCTTGTAGAAGTCAAGAAGAGGTAATAAATACAGTTAACTATTGGGACTCAACCTTCCATTATTTTAATACAATGGAGTGTTGTAGTTATAGCATACAATCGTGGTCTGTTATTGTAACTAATATTTGTTTTTCAGGCAACTGAAAATGCTTCTTGTAAAGCTATTAAACTAATCTTAAAGAGGGAAGAAATTGTGAGGAGTCCTTTAGGTTATAGAAATATTCATCGACCACCTCAACCAATGGCCATGCAATCACAACAGTCCACCTCCAGGTTTGTTTTGGCTCATTTTAAATTGCTTTGCTATAAAAATGAATAAATAAATATTTTTTGTGTTCAATCAAGCCTTATTACCTGATTCTAATGTGATATCCATCAATTGAGCATTGTTAACAATCCTTTTCATGGCATATTTTCCAAGAAAATAATAAATAAGCCTGATTAATCTTAATCATTCAGTGACACCTATTTTAAACTATTTTATGCAACAGTGTGAAATATTTGACTAAATTATTCTTAATGAAATGTAAATGTTAATGGCTGTGACTGCTTCTTCCTTTATATTCAGTTTCAACAGCATATATGAAACATTTGTTTTCGTAAAAGTAAATAAAAAAAGTTTAAGATCAATTGATTAAAAAAAAATCAGTAATTTAAAAAAATAGTTGATAGTGTAATAGTATCAGTAACAAGTAAAAAAATCATTATTCCGGAATAAACTTCAGCAATCATCATTAATAACAGTGAATGGGTTAAAAATTCAAGGAAACATGTATGTACAGGGTGGCACAGACCAAATGATGCTATGTGAAACGGAGTTTTTTAAATTAAATTCCCATATTTTTACTTTTTAAGTTATTGGGATGAAATAATCACAATTTGTTATAAATGAACAAAATTTTTATTGTAATATTGAAGATAAATAAAGATGGTCGTTGAAGTTCCTTATCATATCCTCCACATTTCAACCAGAATTAATGACATTTCACATTTTATGTGTTTGTGGAATAGTTTGTGGGTTTGATAGTGCAACATACATTTTGACTTCAGGTACTCCTCATAAGAAGAAATCAGAGGAGGTTAGGTCAAGCAAGTGGTGTGCCCACGAAACGTAGCCATTTCTGGTAAAATAGGTACCCTAGAAATCTTTCATTGATGCAATTCATCGAAACTCACCCAGAATAAGCAGTGGCTTCTTCCTGTTGATAATAGATGTTCTGAGTGTCCCATTCAAGTGCTTGGGCACATTTTGGAATCAATTTATGAAGACTATTAAGCAATTTATCGCAATTAATAGCGCATTAATCAATTTATTTGTTTGTTATTTTAATTCTATTAAAATTTAATTTATTTTATAATTTTACAGAATTGGAATGAACCAGCAACTTCCTACTCCTCCTATGCAATGGTGTTCTAGTAAAACCAATAATCCTGAAATGCAGTTTTCACCAGCGATGAGGAAGCTGTCTGGTAGAACCTCTCAGGTATGTTTCATTTTATTAATATAGGTTAGTTACCAGCATTTTATGGATTTGTTGAAATTGTTTAATATTCAGTTAAATAATGATCTAACGGGATGTCTACTTAACCTGGAATACTTGGAAAAATCAGGGAACAGATAGGGGTTGCGAGTTTAAATTGGTTGTTATTAAAAATAATTATTTGTATTAATAAGTTTACATCATAGTGATATATACCCAAATATATTATGACCTCAAACATATTGTGACTTGTTCATTGTTTTTTCATGATAAATTAAATAGTTTTTATTAATTATATTCTTAAAACTATCATTTCTATAATTTGCACTCTAAAAGGCATCATTCACTTTGATAGTTATGACCAAATTCAATTTTCCAAGTGACGTCTGTCGACCCCTTTAATCTCAAAAAGCAATAATATAAGAATTGTGTTGATAAAATATTTTTGTTGAGTTAAGAGACTAATATTATACCATATCCAAATGATGATATCTATAAATAAAGATGATCAGACTTAGGTTAACAAATAAGCTTTTAGTGTAATCAATGTAATACTAAATATTGACATTTTTTTAAATTTCTTTAAAATTGGCATTATAATCACGGTTGCTATAATTGTCTATAAATCTTATGTGAATCCCTAGTTTGGTTTATTATCTCCATTATTTAAATATATTTTGTTCAGGAACAGGTAAGATCACCACAACAAGCATTAAGTCCAGTCATTCCAAACTCTCTGCATGAAGAATCAAGAAGTTATGGATCAAGAGCTGTGAAAAATGAAGAGAACCACCCTTCACCCGGTGAGGAAGGAAATCAAAAACCTAAGCCTAACCAAGTTCGCAGATCTGCAGCAAAAACAAAAAGTAGAATTGCTGCAAAATTTTCAACTCCATTACCTGATAGCAAATAGTTAGCTGTTTGTGTATAATACTTAAATTAATTAATATAGATTTATATAAATATTATATATATTTATAATTGTGTACATTCTGAAGGAAACAGGTTTTCTATTACATATTTGTACATATATTACATACCTCATATCATATACCTGTTATAGGAAAATTAATCAATGTAATAATTAAAGTGTTTTATTTAACTCTTCAGCTTTTATGAAAATTATATCTTCTTAATCTCTTCTCAGCAGATGAATTGCTGAAAATTGTGACTAGACAGATAAGTTAATTTGTAAATTAAGAATTTGCTCCTTGTGATAATCTTTATCGTTTTAATTTTGTATAACACTGATATTGTAAAAGTCTTTTGAAAATTTTAGGTATTTCGGACAATGGTTCTCTCATACCTTTATATTTTAAATATTTTATGTTATAACTGAAATAAGGACTTGTCAAAATTTAAAATTCCATAGGGGAATATGTATGACCAATTTTTCTAACTGATGATTTTATTTTTTGTTATTGTTATTTTCTTTTGTGTAAACATTTTATCATAATATGGACTGAAAAAGAGTAATGTGTGTAAAAGAATCATTTTAAGATCTAATTCAATAAAAATTATGCCTTTTTGAACAGTATTATGTTTCTTGTTTTATTTTATTTTACTTCCAAATTTTTTTTATCTATTTACCTTAAAAATATTTTAATATGGCAGACCTTTTTAAAACTAAACTTTACAAGTGCTGTAACAGAATATAACTTGCTCAAGTTTTTAAATATAAATAGATTCATGGTATTAACCGCTCAACTGCATTTAAAATAGAAAGCTTTCTTCAAAATACGATTTATTACAGACAGAATTCCATAATGTTCTCTCTCTTTAAATTATTTTCGTACTCATTGCTCACTGAATAAAATTTTTAGCTCACTAAATTTTATTTAGTTTTCCTCAGTCTCATTCTTATGTTTGGATAATAGTGGTTGCGACTTACGAGACTCTACTGAATAAAGATTGCTTAATAATAGACATGAATGAGTAAGTTAAAACATGTAGGTTTTTTAAACAATTCTTAATAAAAATTTTCCTGAATTTCAATTATGATTATTTCCAGAATAAGAGAAGCCTGTTTGAATCTTAAAAAGAAATTACAATCTCAATAAATTTTGATGAGTGGTTATAAAATATAGAGAGCGAATCCAAACAATTGAAACAAAAATTAAACATTAAATCCTATATTCAAGGTCAGTACTAGTTGTTTTAATATTTTACTCGTACTGTAACTGTATACCAAACATGTTTTTTTCTAAATTGGATGGTTATCGACCCTTGAAATCGACTGTTTCCAAGACTAAAGTTTCCAACCACATAGCCTCACCTTAATTGTTTTTGTTTTTTTCATAACACCCTATCCTCCATTCCCAGCATACTAAAGGGGTTGTTCTAGAGGTGCAACCAAACCTATTCTTATCAGAGTGGGAGGGTTGAGTTTCATTCTATGAGTCTGCCACAAAATAAAAATCAACCCCTCCCAGGCCGGATTCAAACTGGCGTTGCTAGGCACGAGAATGCTAATATGGGGTTCTACCATCACAAGCTTAGCCATCACAACCTTTTATTATCCTTCTAATTAGCAAATTAATTATTCCTGGAGATGTGTAGCATTCTGATTAAAATGATTATTATTAAAATCAAAAGTGAAAGGTTTTCCATGGGAGAAGCAGTATCACAGTGCCTATATGATAACTTATCCCACCATATACAATGCACGGAATGCAATGAATCATTATAAATGACTGAGAAAAAAAAAACATTAATTCTAACCTCACAATACATTGCATTAATTTATTACCATTTTATATGAAAATTTGTCCACAGACCTATATACACTACTTAATAATAATAATTATCCTCACTGGGCAATTAGTTTAGCTAGCAGTCGGATAAGGAAAAACTGTTTTTTCCTAGAAGATTAGTACATTAGCTGGATTTCCCAGCTTTGTCTATTCAGATAAATAGATAGATTGATAAACCTTCATTTCTTTTGGGTATACCAGCTAATAATTATAATTATCTCCTCTAGCCAACTAGTGTAGATAACTATCGGAGGGAAAAAAATTGTTTGTTTTTCCTAGAAGATTAGTACATGTGGTGGATTTCCCAGCTTTATCTATTAGGATTAGGAATGGATCAGATTGTATGTATCTGATACAACCCAATAGTACCATACAGATGCTCACATGGTTGTCCAGAAAAAGAAATGGTCATCCAGATTGATATAAGAGGAATATAATATATGTTTAGTTATATTTTTAGTTGTACACAATTTTTTTAGAACTATCTATTCATTTATTTTAATTTAGTTAAATGTTTATTTGTATAAATAGTATTTAACTAATATAATAATATATATATATATATATACATATATATATATATATATAACTTCAATTGATTACATACATTTTCACATCTACTATTTTAGTATAGTTTTGTTATACTTCTTTTTACTTTAAATCCATAATGTTCATTCATAATAATATTTGTAGAAAATCTTCATTTCCTAACTGATATGTACATCAAAAAACATTATTTTACTTCTAAATCAATTATGTAGTTTTAATTTAAATTGAAAATATTCAAATTGAATATTGAATATTTTGGCGAGTATGTAGACCGTTAGAGTACTATAATTCATTTACGTGGTAGGAATAAATTAAATCTTTCGGTTGATTGTTTAATAAAGTTGAAAATGAGGTAAGCAAACATTATATAAGCATTATTAGACAAGCAAAAAAAAAAAAAAAAAAATATATATATATATATATATATATATATATATGTATATATTTGTGTATGTTAATCTTAGTTATATAGAATTTTTTTTAATTGTTACAAAACTTTTTAGAATCTTTTATCAGGAAAAAAATTTCTCTGCACAAATTTGTTATATTTTTATTTTTAATTAAATATATTCTATTCTTTTTGTAAATTATAAAGCATATTTTATATTTATTTAAAAATTGTATACATATCTGCATAGTACTTGACATAACTATATAGTCATTAGAACTATTATATTTAGAAATATATATATGTATTACAGTTGGATAGTCGGATTAAAATATCTGATACAATTATTGGGGTAGCCCAAGTGCATACCACTCCCTCTGATATCTGATAAAAGTAACTAATCTTTAGTGTATCAAGTCCAGGTATCAGATAAAAATATCTGATACAAGAATCAGATAAAAAGTAATAGGAAAGTAATGGCAAACTACTGACCCATTTGTATCAGATACAAAAAAGTAGCTGTATCAGTTGTATCTAGATACAAAAATTCTGGTATCAACCCATCCCTAATTAAGATAAATAAATAAATTATAGATCTTTAAACCTCCATTCATTTTGCTTATTCCAACTATAAAATTTTTATTTTGTCCTAATATGTTATCTTATCTGATGTTAGGAATAATTTGGTCAGCAATTCAACATTTATATAACGATTCATTATTTTTACAAAATTCAAGGAAATCCCCAGCTGCAAGAAACGACTCTATGGACACTTTCTTCCTTAAGCGCCGTCTTTAAGAGGAAACAGCTGTAGGTTTGAGGAAAGTAGCTCCTAGTCATTAGCTGTGGTTTGGTGATCTTGGAATATGTTCTGGAAAATATGAATAAAGAAACGCGTTTTTAAATTGTTGTAACCACATCTGCGTCTTCAATTTGGTCTCAGGAGGGAAACCTCAGCTTGCGGACCAATTTTCCTGGGGAAGACCGCTTTTCCTCCTCCGACAGTTATCGAAATTTTAATTATATTAATTGAATTAAAATTTTCTTGACTTCAGGGGTTTTGCCTATGCGCCCTAGGAGCCAAAGAATTTTTTTTATATTAATACTTAATTAATTATTATATTACTGTTTTGTGACTTTGCTCTGCATGCATTTCTAAATTATTTTATATCAGTCGATTTTTTTTTGTAAAATATGAAAAACATAATGCTTATTCTTACATACACGATCTTCCTGCAATAAAAATCCAAAAAGTTCAGCAAAAACTCAAAATCGTACAGGTAAAACCCAAAAATATGTAAAATTGTGTAATTAACACTTAAAATGTGCAAAACTTGTCTTCTTTGCTCAATATAATATGGTATATTATTATATTTTGTGGAACTTCTGAAATAAAATAATGTGGAACGAGAAATTAAAATGCAACATTGAATTTTTTAGAAAACTTTAAAAATGGTAATACTTAAGATTTTCAGGCGTTCAAATATTAGTGTTGGTGCTGTTAAGAGGGCCGGAAAGTAATGTCGTTTCTGGGCACATCACTATTTGATTGTCATTTGGCAGCTTATTGTGTACATCTTAGTCGTGGTAAAGATATTCTAAGGTTAAAGTGACTTCTTTAGTTGCAAATAATTAAATTAATTTTTTTTGTTGCAATTTTTGGTGGAATGACCAGCAAAATACTAGAAAAAGGTCCACATTGCATACTTTTTGAGCTTCGTAAGGATATTTCCCTAACAGTTATTACCAAAAACATTTGCGATATAAATGCCGAAGATGTTTTTAAAGTTCAAATTCGGTAATTTTGATCTTTCAGACTGTTATTGATCAGGAAGACCAACAACATTAGAGAATAAGGTGTTAAGGACGGAAGCCTTAGAAAATCAGTGTTAGACAATTGCCAAACAGTCTTAACCTGCCTTGGTCCACCCTCCAAGAACATTTGCAGCAGATTGGGAAGCTATCATATGCAACCTTATTGCTTCAACAGTAGAATACGGAAGCGTTTTTTGATCGCTTGATCACCGGAGATGAAAAATGATTTCTATGTGGTAATCCAGAACGCAAAAGGCAGTGACTCTCTCCAAAAGAATCGCCACGAATTACTTCTAAGCTAGGTTTACACCCCAAAAAGGCTCTTTAGTGTGTTTGGTGAACTATTCCTGGCGTTAGTTGCTCATTTTGAAGTGCTGAAACTTGGACTATAAGTGGACAAATTAATATGTAGACCTTTATTCTGAACAATTGCATCGTGTAAATCAACCTTTAATTGAAAAGTGACCAGTGATTGTCATGAGGGAAGGTGTTATTCTGCTGCACGAAAATGCAAGACTGCGCATTTTTAGGGTTTGCACTGCGGAAGACGAACCCTGGAAAAAATAATGAATTGGGTTGGGAGATTTGTCCGAATCGTTTCAACACTCTTTAAGTGGCAAAAGATTTGCAAACTTGAATGATGTCCAAAATGCCATCTTATTACAACCGAATGCATTTTCAGAGGGCGTTTCGTAAAAGACAACTTTACCGTCAAGTTACAACTCGGGGTAAATTGAATTTTGGGGGGAGGGGCTTCAGCTCGAAAGTTCCCTTCCTCCTCACTTAGATCCGCCTGTGATTTACCTATCTGAGATTTTCATCTGTTTTCCGTCGTGTCCCCTACTATGGAAGTTGCGTACGCCAGTACAACTAAATACAGAAACTCCGTGCACTAATATGGTGTTATTAAATAAAATAATGTCTACAAATGAGGCTTGTTCTATGCTGAACCACCTATGAACTTCTGCACTTGGAAAAAATAATAATAATCCTTTTCACAGATTAAGAATTTTTACGACTAGAATTTCACCGTTCGGGTTTCTTTCCACTGAACCGATTGCTATCGTCCGAGTTTTTTCCGACTCGTTTAATTCTTAGCGTGTAAGAATCCTATCTACTACCATTAGTACGCCTATCTATTAGAGGTGCTACTACATTATTACCCGGACGAAGTCTTGTCGTGTAAAAGTGATCTGCCTACCACTGCAACTAAAGAAGCAGAGATATAAAATAAAAACGTTAGAGATTTTTTCTTTATTTCTCTTTTATTAATATACAGGTTTGACATACAGAGTAATGATTAAACTTTCCAACGGTTTTATTCAGTACTCCACCTCTACCGAGGATGTACTAGAGAGCTAATAAGTTTTTTTCAATTTCTGTATTATTGGCTATGCAAAGTAGTTGATCATTCAACTTCATTGGAATGGTCCGAGGATCCTTAGGTTTTCGTTCACCGAGAACCTTCTATTAAAAGTTGAGGAGATTGAACTTGAATTATTTAAAAAAAAAAAGAATGTTTATTTACATATTATCCATTTTGGCACATTATTTTCTCTCACGCCGATGACCAAGTTTGCTTAATGAATGTTGCACCTCGCTCGGCAACCATAATGACAGGAGCATTTGTGTTGCCTCCTGGAATAGTCGGTATCACTGAAGCGTCGACAACTCGAAGTCCGTTGACCCCATGAAGGAGCAATTGCGGACTTACTACTGATCTACTGTCAGATTCAGGTCCCATCCTATAACACAAGGCAAATTTATTTGATCAAGTTTTTTGAAATTTAATTCCTTAATCTTAACAACTCTAATTTTCCTCCACTCTTCATTTCATTCGATCTAAAATTCACCATCAGAAAAAATACAGTAACTATTTTGCTGTACGTTGTCCCAATACCCCTTCAACCGTGTAATGTAGTTTTCTTTTATATGTACGAGTATATAGTGCTTGAGAGATCATAGATGGGAGGGGGTCACCCAACCTCACGTTGATAAGGACCATATTCTCCATGGTGCAGTGGTAGGCCTCCCATCATAGATCCATAGCCCATCTCTTAAAGGCCAATCTGGCGGTGTCTTTTCAACCGATCACTTGCGTTCAACGACAGTGACCAAACCTTTGGGCGCCTAATTAGTTGGAGCTTGATTTCCATCTCTTTACTGAACTATAACTATCAACTTCAGTTTTTATTAAACCAGCCAAGTAAAGGTACATATTTTTTTAATACTTAGGACGATAAATAATTTTCATTGCGGGTGAAAAGATATCAAATGTAAGATAAGCTTACCTGCATGTACCTACAGGATGGAAAATAGTGCTGGTATAATATTCAACCATGCATTGAATATACTCGTCCGTCAAGGGAGTCATAGTAGCGCATGCAGTGTAAAAATCCGAATAAAATGTTGACCCTAGCTTCTGGAAAGTTGGAGTATTCGACACCGCGAGTGTGTACTTAACACCTTCTATTCCTGTTTCAAAATCATAGTCTGTCTCGTAATACCTTGTGAGAAAAATGAAATCGTTAGTTTTATGATATGATGGCAGAGTTTTGAGAAACCAGTTTAATTGTTAAAATGAATTCAGACCAAAAGTAACAAAATGGGGATATTAAGTACCTTGGGTCCATTAGAGGCGGGTCAAAAGGATTGGTACTCTGCAGGCGGACCGTACCCCTGGTCTTAGGGTGCAGCACTTGGGCTAGGCCGAACCACAGCTGCTTGTTATTGTGCATGTCTGGCAGCGAGGAAGTGAGGTGGATCTCGATGTCTGGGTAGTCCAGCTCTCTGGGGTTCATGCTCGTATTTACAAAAGCAAGATTCTCAATTCCTGTTCAAATAACTAGATTAAATAGTTAGTAAGCACTTAAAAACTAAAGATAAAAAAAATAAATAATCTCAACAAGAGACGTCTTTGAATCAACAATTAAAAAAATTTCGTGCCATTCTTGTACAAGTAGCACCAGAATCGTTTTGACGAGCCAAATGCTTCTATAGCCTCTAAGAAAGAACATTCACATAGGAAAGATTGCTTTTATGTTTTGTAAATTGTTTTCTTTATATTAATTAATCAAAACTGCCTATCTCAAGCAATTGAAATTTCAGTTTTTATTTCTCTATTTTTAAGACAATAAAGTGCACTCATTTTGAGCAAAACTGACGTACTAATAAAAATTACAAGCACTTCAAAATCACGTTATTTTTACTGTGCACATTTCTTGCTTCATAGTCACATAAAATATAGAAAATATTTTTAAATATAATGAATACACATTCAGTAATCGAAATAGTTAACACACCTATTGGTACCGTTAGAGGACCTTGTCCATACATGGTGTAGCTTAGAATTGAATCCGAAGACATATATTGATCTTGTGTGATGGTTATTGGTTCATTAAGGCTATATACGACGGGCGTCCCATAGTGGTCGTGAAGATTATTCCCGACCGGGAGGTCCTGAAATGAAAAAGTAAACAGGTTTTTTATCAGTAACGTAAATCAATAAAATGTTGCTACTTACACCAAATATGATTTAGATTTCTTTCTACTAATAAACCCACTCTGTAAAATAATATAGGAAATGATTAGATAGATTCTGTTGATCCCAATTTATTATTATAAACTTCGATATATGTACTATGAGGATTAAAGCGAGCGGGAATGGTTGGTACAAGGGGTAAGTTGGCCAAATGTTTTTTAATCTCACTATCGGGAACTTCGGAGTTCTGCCATTTCTCCACATGGACCACCACCTCTATAAATTGTTATTACAAAGTTTTCAGGATTTCTATTTGGCTGAAAAAGTTCCATTTTTAGAGAAATACTAAGATTGCGAGAAGAAACAAGTTTTATCAATCAAAGCCTAATCGAAGTACAGTTTAATCTGTATGTTTTAATAATCTAATTAAAACAGCCATAAAACGAATAGTTATATATAATATTACTCATTCTTTTGAATATATTTGGGCGGAGGGGATTTTTAAGTTTGTTCGGTGAGACAAAAAAAAAAAGGAAGATCTGACCGACCAAAAGGAAATTTTTAAAAATATGGCGAAAATGCTGGTGTCATGGGATTCTACCTATATGGTTGAGAGATTACTAAAGCTTGTTTTTCAGCACTATAAGTTGTTTTTTATCGTTTATTTGCCTTTTCTTTGACAGAAATTGTAACTGTACCTCTTTTTCACTGTCACTTTTATTTATATTATTTCCGTCCTGATTATTGGATGTGTAAAACTCCTCGATTATCACTTTTTTGGACCTTGGAAGCTATGTTTGCATTGAAATCCGGTTCAGATTGGCTGTTCAAAATGTTATTTTAAATATTACGTTACTTTGTGACCAAGTCGAATTTTAATGTGATATCATTGTAAAGACTAAGAAAAAAAGATTGTAGGAAAATAATGGCAGATCAATTCACAAGAGGGATAAATGTCTTTCCTACAGTGAGAAAAAAGCTGCGAAATAAGGCCAGCTATACTTCCGTTTTCCTTAGATATACAATATTTTATTTATTTATTGTCTTAAGTACAATAATATAATACTTTGAACAGTTTATTTTTTCGTTGAACGCCTTTTACTATAACTGTGTTTTTTTCCTTACCAAAAAAAGAAAAAAGTTAATTAAAATTTATTGAAAATTACATGAAATCTAAGTGAAGGCAGTAAGTTTCATGCCAGAAACATTAAGGATCGACTAAACAATACATTTATAAATTAACTTTTTGAATAAAGCTAAAATTTTGTAACCCAAAAAAAAAATATTGTAGTAACCTAACCAATATTCCATGTAATCAATGCATTGGCATATCTATTAAAATACATTTACGCGTGCGCCAGGGCAAGAATTTGGTGGATAGAATTTGATAAATTTGATATTGGACCATCTAGACCATCAGCAACCCGCACAATCCCTGAAAATTTCATGAAATTTGAAAATTGGATGAAAGATAGTAGGTGATATGTCCGTCACATCGATTTGACTATTGACTGACAGACAGAAGTTTGATCCTTGATGTCTGAAACGTAAACTGCTGGTGAAAATCTTCGATTCTGAGCGCAAAGATTTTTATTAATTTTTCATCTGGCATAAATACAATGCTTCCCTACCTTCGGTAGTGAGGAAGCAAAAGAAGGTCAATTTTAAATTTGTTTTATTTATATACCATGAATTGTTCTTCTTATGAAATGTTTATAATGTTGGGAGGCGGTGTGGCTGAGTGGGCTAATGCGTGTGTAAAATACACGTTGCCCGGCAATCTTGATAAACCAAAGTTTACGAGTTCAAATCCTGGTGCCGAGGAACTTTTAACTTTGGAAAAAATTCTTCACCCTCTCCCCTGGATCGGAAAAAACATAAATAGCCTAAAAGACAAAGGTGAATAGAAAACGTAAAATGTTTTACAATGTTAAAGAGACTTTCATGAGCGTTTTCTCAATCGTGCCAACCAATCATGGAGTACAGGTTTGTGGCATACTTCGACTTTTTGACTTTCCAAGTGCTTTGAAAAAAAATATGGTCTCATCGATGAAGTTTTCAAAGAAACCAAGAATATACATCAACTGTTGTTTGCATGAAAATGTTGCTAATCAGCTCCGCTTTTCTCTTCATAAAAAAGAATGAAAATTATAATCATAAATCATAAATCACAAAGATTTTCACCTGATGAGGAATTACAGTTTCTTCAACAACGGATATAAAATGAAGTGATCTAGCCATTAAAGCCTCAGGTACTAACTTTGTAGAAACTGTATGTTTCAGACTCTTAAGTCTGAAGACTGATATGACATGTGAAAGGCAGAGTTCTTAAGTTGAGATTCCACTAACTTATGGACTGAACTATCCCACTTCTAGAACCTCGGCTGATGAATTGACATAGGAAGCAATAATCGGTTAAGAGGACATTTAGATTCTGTTCCTTGTTTCAAGAGTCTCATTATTTTTTTACAATGCAGTTTTGATAGTAAGATATTGATACTGACAATATTTGATTTTTAGTTAATAATAACAGTCATGGAATCTGGAATCCAGTCAAGAGGAACCATCTTTAATTGAACAATGCAAATTGTTGGTTATAGGGATGAATTAGATTTGATCAAGAACTATTCTAGAAGAGGCCTTCTTTATCTGATTCAAAAATATGGATCTTCGGAATCCTACTTAAAACAAATATATGGTCACCACTGAAGTGAAACCGCTGTTCAATTTGGGCCTTTCAAATTGGAATCTGTTGGTGAATTTGTATACCTTGACTCTCAAGTAAACGATAATTGTAATATCTGAGCTGAAATAAATAGAAGAATAGCCTCTGCTAATAGGTACTATTATTGACTCCGTCGACTACTGGGAGACCGCCAAGACAATAAGAATACGTAAGTCATTAATCAGGCCAGTACTTACTTATGGATCTGAAACCTGGACTTTTTCTAAATGTGATGAACAAGAACTATATATATTTGAAAGCAAGGTCCTGTGACGTAATTATGGTCCGGTTAAAGGTACCGGATGTTTTAAAATGATAAATCTTTCCAGGCTTCGGGGTAGATCATATCGCCAGGGTAGATGTCTATAAGATTCCAAGGAAATTCCTCATTGAAGAACTGCATAGAACACGACCGAGAAGCCGCCCCAAATTGCTATTTTTTGATCGTGTAAAAAGGTTCGAAGAACCTCTTTGGTGTTCGAAAATGGAGGGCTGCTGCAGTTGGTTGAATGGATTGGCAAAAGATATTTGAGGAAGCCAGGATCTAGTAAAAGTTGTAAGTGACAACTGATGATGAAGATTTAATAACGATCATTGTTTCGTTAATTTGGACAACTTGAATAAAGTCAGTTCTGTTTAACTTTTCGGGTTATTAGTTATCATACTAGTTGATATTAGAACCTGATGAATAATATTTTTGAAAAAAATTACATAATTTTTACATGGATTTCCATTCTCAAGGTGGCACTATTACATAAGTTAAATGTAATTAAGTTAATTATTTGGTTTCCTCCAGTGACTTCCTGAGTTTAACAACACTCCTATTAGAACAGAAAGAGTAAGTCATTTTATAGATTAGAAAATTATACACGTGAATTTTAAAAATTTTCATACCGCAATGATTGGTATTCCTAAATTACTAAGATGGTCAGCTGGACCTATGCCCGAGAGCATTAGAAGTTGTGGTGTATTTAAGGAACCTGCTGACATAATAACTTCTTTCTTGGCTTTTATTTCGAATGTCTGAAACAAAAAAAAATACCAACATAAGAGTCAATGTAAGATACAGAATTTACTACCGAATTATACCTTTATTTTACCTGACCGCCCCTCTCGAATTGTACTCCAAAGGCAGTTTTCGTAGTTGGTTCGATCAGAATTTTCGTAACGTAGGCTCCCTCAGCTACATGCAAATTTGGTCTGTTACGTGCTGGTCTTAGAAATGCCTTTCCAGTTGAGCACCTATTTCCATAACATACAACAAGATTTAGAGTTTTTCGGTGCCAAGATAATAAAACATTTGCATTAGTAATATTTTAATCACTAACGATAAAATTAATAATATCAAATTTTCAATATTTTAGGCATTTAGTTGTGAAAACAATAGAATAGATAAAAAAATACCTTTATTGGCGATGTAAATGGCATTTACTTTGGGGGGGGGGGCATGATTTCTCTTACCTGTTTAATTAAGAGTAAGCGCAGTTAAAAAAAGAAGTTGTTTATTTAAGCTAAAAACGGAAAAATTACTTGAAATTTGTAGACCTCTAAATTCTGTCGCTTGGGCCAATGGCTTTTTTTCTTTTTGCCTCACTGGGCGTGATGCCACAAAGCTAATAAAACACATTTTAAACTAAATATTTTACTAAGAGAGTAACTAGAGAAAGAAAACCCAAAAAGAAATTAATTGAATTGAAGGACCTTTAATATACATTTTGACATTTCACAAACTCTGGAACAATCAAATGTAAAAATAGTTATTTTCCTAAGCAATTATTTTGGTTTCTTGTTCCCTAGAATTAACTTAGTTTTATCTTCGTTGATATTAACAAAAATTGTAATAAAGTGCCCGTTATAAAAGCAGCTGAGTGAGAGTAGTGGGGCAGCTTATCAAGCTTCACCTTAATCCCGGCAGCCGCCACCCAAACAAACAGGTGTGTTGTTGTTTTTGTTCCTCATTGTTTTCATTTAACTCTCCTTATTTAAATAGCGCTATTTTAAAGAAATAATAATCTCAATAAAATGGTTAATTGTAAAACATGCAGTAAATTGGTGGCACGAGAGGAGAAGAACAAATTAGCCTGTACAGTATGTCACTAGCGGATCCAGAATTTAATTTTTTGGGGGGAGGGGCTTTAGCCCGAAAGCTTTTTTTTTCATAAGATTAACGATAGTTACCTTGGAAAATAAGAAAGAAACTAAGTACCTATATGAACTAGTGTTTAAGTGATTCCTGAAGCCCTTTTAAATGTAATTACACGAATAATTATATTTTAAGAGATAGTTTTTAAATATTTTTTTTGATAAAGCATGGTTATATTTTACCATTTTGGGGGGAGGGCTTCAGCCCGAAAGCCCCTCCCCCCGTAGATCCGCCTGTGCAGTATGTACAAATATATTTCATGCTAAATGCATCAAAATTGATAGTGACTCGGAAGGCCTAAAAGAAATTAACAAAAAATGGATATGCCCCGATTGCGCTTCTGAGCCTACAATGATTGGCCTATTGAAGGCCCTGACCGAGGAAGTTAAGCAGATGAAGACCAAGCTTCAGGGCATCGACGAGTTAAAGGAAATAAAAGACTGCCTCAACAAACAGTCGGAACTGTCTTTTGAAAATATGGAAAAGCTATTAAAGATAGGAACCTTGCTGGAAGAACAGAAAAAACACGTCGAAAAATTGTCTATCGAAAACACCACCTTAAAGAAAAAAATATGGGGGCTGGAAATTCGGTTAAATTATACTGAGCAATATCAGTTAAAAAACGCAGTCGAAATTCGAGGAATTGCAGAAAAGCTGGGTGAAACTGTGACTGGGACCATCCTTAGCGTCGAAGCGGGTCTGGGCATCAAGTTAAGTCCAGACGATCTGGATCACGTAGTGAGCTGTTCAAACCAAAGCAGGAAGGAACTCCAGGCCCTATCATTACTCGCTTCGTTAGGCAAACTACAAGAGATGAACTGCTGCAGCAGAGAAGAACGAAAAGAGACTTCTCTACACGCCATCTGGGCTGGGGGGACAACGATTCGCACCGGGTTTACGTGAGCTATAAACTAGACCCCCGCCAATAAACATCTAGACATAAACATACAGTTGTGGCAAAATTCGATGCAGACAGTCGGATGGATGTCCGGCGGTAGTTTAGGGAAAGCTAGCGACTTGGACGTTTTTATATGAATTTTGTATGTAAGTCTCCCAAAATTTGAATCAATTTTAGTCTTTCTATCAAAAATATTTTAATTTTAATTTTTGTAAGCTATCTTCTTCATTATCGTTTTAAAGAGCTGGAATTTCATTTGACTGAATGTTTTTTCTTTTTAATTAATTGTAACCAAAGCCATCTTTACATTTTTTCACATCATAAATTAATTCTTTATATTTATTTTTATTCGAGGCTATATGATTTTAAGTCTTTCTTTTCAAAGTTAATTTTATGCTTATATTTTCTATTCTGTTGCAAAAATGAATATTTTGTTAAAAAATTGTTATATCCTACTCTCCTTCCTCGATCATTGCGGTGAACGCAACTCTCCTTCCCAACATCTCAGTTATGACTAATATCCTAAATTCCTGTCACGTCAATCCACAATCCCTTAATGCCCACTTTGATGAATTCCAAAAATATTTTCTAAATAATTTTTTTCACACAATAGCAGTATCTGAGACCTGGCTGAAACCTTTTATTCCTTCCTCCCAAATTTCTCTCCCCAATTACTCTTTCCTGCGTCATGACAGATCTGATCGCACGGGAGGTGGTGTCGGACTATATGTACATAATAGTCTCAAGGCCAAAATCCTCTTACAGTCTCCTTTTCATGACCTCCCTCACGTTGTATATTTATTTGTTGAAATTACCTCTATTTCCTCTCCTTTACTGTATGTTGTTGTCTACCGCCCTCCTCGTATTCTATTTGACCAACTCTTTGAATCCTCCCTTGTCAACCTGGTTTTCTCCTACTCCAATATCATCATCTCCGGCGATTTTAATGTAAATATGCTCTCAGAATCTCCCGACAAATACTACCTTAATGACCTAATATTTTCTCTCAATATTTATCTTGTCCCTTATTCTCCCACTCAGTTCTCTGACACCTGGTTAGACCTCCATATCTCTGACTCACCGCTTAAAATCCTTTCCTCCTCTCAACACCCTGTACTCTTTCTATCATCACACTACCTGATCCAAATCTCGTACGACCTACCCGTGAAATCATTTACTCCCAAAATAGTGTCATATCGCAATCTAAACCTCCTTTTATATGAATCCCTTCAACCTGACCTTGATTCCGCCCAATGGGATATCATATTTTCCTACACCTCCATTGACCCTATGATATCCATTTTCCCCCTCCATTGATCCCACCCTTACCTCAAACCTACAATCCATATTAGACATCCATGCTCCTCTGAAAACCAGAATCTTACGTCGTCCCACTACTCTTTGGCTGGCTCCTGAAATAAAGGTAATGATAAAGAGAAGGAATGCAGCAAGGCGCAAATACCGTCAAACCCGCTTACCTGCTGATTATGCGTCTTTCAAACAACTTCGTAATGCAACTCAATCCACAATCCGACTTGCTAAATCCAACTACTTTCATAATGCCCTTTCCAATGCTCCCGATCCCAAATCAAAATGGAAAATACTTCGTAATCTATCCCTACCAGATTCCAATAACCTCATTTTCCTACCTGTGACTCCAGATGATCTTAATGACCATTTCTTATCTTTTGCTTCTAATCCTTCTCCTACTCATGATATTGAACACCACAATTTCAATCCCGAAAACTTCTTTTTTTCCCATGTGTCCTACGACGAAGTACTTCCACTATCCTCAAATCCCACACCAATGATTATGGTCCTGACAATATTCCAGTAAAACTAATAAAATCCAGCCTTCCTACCCTTATTCCAATACTTTATCATGTATACAACTTCTCATTGCAAAATTCCATATTTCCCTCTTCCTGGAAAACTGCACTAATCCGTCCTTTGAGTAAAACATCTAATCCTTCCTCACAGAACGACTTCCGTCCTATTTCTCTTCTTTCCAACCTCTCAAAACCACTGGAACGCCTAGTCCAAAATCAACTTTCCAACTTCCTAGATGAACGTTCCCTCATCAATCCATTCCAATCTGGCTTCCGACCGGGCTATTCAACGCAATCTGCCCTCCTTAAAATAACCCATGACCTCTAAAACTCCATTGAACACCAAAACCTTACTATCCTCATCCTTCTAGATTTTTCCAAAGCGTTTGATACAGTTGACCATAACATCCTTCTTACCAAATTGCAAAATCTTCCTCTATCCAACAGTGTCCTACGTTGGTTCAAATCCTTTTGAACATTTTCCGATCGATCCCAGTATGTAGTCGTCCCAGATCAACCTCCTTCAAAGACACTTCTCCTCTCCTGTGGTGTTCCTCAGGTAACAATCCTTGTCTCCTACTCCGTTTGCTATTTACATTAATTACCTTCCCTCCTGATCCATCACTCCCAATATCACCTCTATGCTGACGATTTCCAAATATACCTGTCCTTCCCCCCTTCTGACCTATTAGCCGCCACAAGAAAGCTTCAAGAAGATTTAAATAGAATATATGACTGGGCAGGAGCTAACAAGCTGAAGTTGAATGCGGAAAAGACCAAGGCAATCCTAATAGGCTCCAATCACCTCCTCAAAACTGTTCCTAACTTTCCAACCCTGTTCCTACATGATAATCCCATCAAATTTTATCCCACCATCAAAAACCTTGGAATAATCTTTGATCAAACCCTTTCCTGGAAAAACCATGTGTCCAATATCTCCCGACGTACCTTTTCCACCCTAAAACACTTAAATAGCCTGCGACACCTTTTTCCTTTTGAAATCCGTAGACTCCTGGTCACCTCCTTAATATTTCCCCACTTCGACTATTGCTGCACGGTATATGGAGGCGTCTCTGGGGATCTCGAGGCGAAACTAAAACGTTTGATAAATTGCTTTGTACGATTCATCTTCGGGATCCCAAGAGACGCCCCTGTTTCCTGCTTCTATGAAGAGTTGAAGTGGCTTTATCCTTCCTACCGCCGTAAGTATTTCCTGGCAACCTTCCTCTTCCAAGTAATTCACTCCCGCCGTCCTTCATACATCGCCGAGCTCCTTCAATTTAAATCCTATGTCCACTCCCGTAATACCCGTTCCCGGTCTTCAGATTTATATATAATGGCCCACCGGACCGCTGCTTTCGATAAATCTTTTATTATTCGATCCTCTTCCCTATGGAACTCCATCCCTCCCCACATCCGTCAATCCAAAATCCTACCTTTAAATCCCAACTGTTTAATCATTTCTTATCCATCCAGTCATCATAAAATTGTAAATAGTTACTACTGTAAATATGTATATAAATTATTAGATCGTTCTTTATTATTTTTACTTCATATTTATTTTCAATTTCTTGTTTTTTATTATTAACTGAAGTAAATCAGAAAGTAACTTATAATTTCTGTTATTATTTTTTTTCATTTTCTATTTTTTTTTTTTGACTATTTAATCAAACTATATTCTTCTTAATGTATCTCTGAGGCTCCTTAGCCCACATTTTTGTCTCTCTGTATTATTCTAAAGGGACTCGTTCCAGAATAAATAAAACATTATTATATATATATATATATATATATATATATATATATATATCAATATTGGTCGTATACATTTTTTTTATTGTGCATATTACCTTGATCCATTTCTGAGTGTGCCCTGTAAAATAGAGAAGCCAGTTTGGTTCATTGCATTAGGATCTACAATGTCAAATCCTAGTTCCTTGCCCGCCTGAAATAAAGAATACAATTTCTTATATAATTTATATATCCGACCATAAAACAACTTTAATTATTTTTTTAACAAAAACGTATCTTAATGCGTGAATCCTGTTGGATTCGGGGCCATATTTTTGGAAAGTTATATTGTCTAATCAATTAAGTTTCACAATAATCTAAATATCATACCTGAAGAAAAGCATCTTGCAATGGTGAGTGATAAGGTGCTCTGGATACTGTTAATGGCCCTCCCACACCATGGAATTCGGTTTCCCCATAATCTCTGTTATCTTCAGAATACCTGAAGTACGGTAGAACTTCATCATATGACCAACCGACGTTACCATCAGCTGCCCAACCATCATAATCCTTCCTGTTTCCTCTGGCGTAAACCATAAAGTTCAAAGAACTGCTACCCCCGATTACTCGGCCCCGAGGCCATTCGCACCTTCCTCCAGCCACTGTTGACAGAGCTCATATGTGCAGACATCGAATATTATATATTACATACTTTAAATCATCAATAACCTACACAAGCAGGCTCTCCTCTGAGGAACGGTTGTATAATTCCAATCCAATGGAGATCTCCACATATTAAAAGCAAGAAGTGGTGTATCCGTAACGATATTTTCGTCTGGCCCAACTTCCAATAACAATATACTCCAGCTAGGATTTTCAGATAATCTATTAGCCAGTACACAACCTTTACATAAATAAAAATTGACAAGAATAAGATCATATTATTAGTATTTACCGAGTTATAAGTTTTTTGATAATATACAAAACTATGGCGACATGTCTTAAACAGAGCTGATAATTAAATTTTCTTTATCTTAAAGTTGTTATTCTTACTACCTCTTAGTAGCAATATTTCGCATCTCTTAACTAAGTAACAAGCCAATAACCTCTTGTAAACATAAATAAAATTTATTTCTGAAAACTCTAATTTGGTTTACATTTACCTGCTGATCCTGCTCCAACAATAATGAAATCGTATGCTGAAAAGAGATCAGTTGAAGGTATGTTGATGGGACGGAGATTCGGATCGATAGAATTGTAGTTGAACATCATTGTAGCTCCAAACAAGGCAACATAAAATGCAGTTAGAGGTGTTATTGTTGCACTAATATCAATCATACTGAAATCACAGAAATTTTTTAATAATTAAAAGTTTTCGTTTTGACAATGATGCTGACTTTCTATATGTTAGGTAATCCTCCTTAATTTCTCTTATATGTAGGCAATTATCTATTTATCAAAATTATCAGTGGTAAATTTCTGAAATATTTGTTTGTTTTATTATTTATACATTTGCTTCTGAATATTTTTAAGAAATGTATAGAAGCGTGCATAACATTCATTTACATAAATTAGTCATTTTTGTTTTTTAAATTAACAAAGTTAAAAGTAATATTATTCAATTGTCTGTTGTACTTCTCTTAGAAGAGCTCTATGTGGTCAATATTATTGAGTTATCATCAAATTTCAACAGTATGTTAATAGATATACAATTAATATATCATATTGATATCAATATTATACTGGTTGACATAATTTTTTATTAGTCTTATTAAAGCATTTTACATATTATTGAAGGAGTGCTAATATTATTGCACATGTAAGGGATATATACAGATATAAACACTAAGGGGACTGGCTGATACTTCAGAGCCTCTCTTCGTTAGAGCGGAAACTGTTATGTGAATATGTGTGGGTGTGCCCCAAATTTCGTAAAACTAATAGAAATATTTTATGCCATTTACCTGTACCACTACAACTCATGAAGGGTCTTGAATGAAGTACTATGTAAGGAAGTACTGTTACAAGGCCAACGGTTGTGCAGGTAGGTGATGGGGCCGATATCACACTAAACCGTCAGGTTTTTTCACTTAATTAATATTTTTAATGAAGGGTATTCACTTTATAGAGGTTGGGTGTGCCCTAGAAGGGTCTCCCGACCCCAGGGTTCTTCCATGGCTAATGAAAAATTATTAGTCATTAGCCGGATTCGAACCTAGGACCTTGAGCTCTGGAAGTCAGTGCTTACCCACCGATCTACCCCGCTCCTAAAAAAAGTAAAAGCTGTTGTTCAAAAGGTAATTTTTATAAGATATTTAATAATAATATTTTTTCATGTTTTATTAATAATATTTTTTAAATATTAAATAATAAGAAAAAATAATTTTTTTTTATTGTCGGGTATTGAGGTTACATTGTCGAGCGAATAAAATATTAATTACATTATAGAAATATTCCATTCCTATATATGATCATAACAATGTAATTGGAATTATTTTATTTATTTATAACAATGGGGAGATCCTCAACCTCTTACGGGTCATTTTAACCCTTACACAGTATTTATATTACATAAGATGAAATTTAACAATAAATTTGAAAGTAAAAATGGGGCCGAATGGGCTAACGCATGTGCACTGCACCGCCGTATCCCGGCAACCGGGTATATGATTCTATGATATAAAAATGGTCACGAGTTCGCGTCCCGGTGCCAGAGGGGATTTTAAATTCCCCGCCCTCATCCTCTGGTCTGGGAAAATCCTGTATAGCCTAAAAGGCGAGGTAGGGAAGAACAGGAAAAAAAAAAAAGTAAAAAATATTTTATTACACAAAGCACAAAATTATTTTCCAAGGCGTGGAAGGGTGGAATATATAAATATAAATATAAAATAGTAAAAAATATTTAAAACATTAAAATTTTCAAAAAAGTGTTAATAAAAACTAATTTTTTTATAAAGTTGCGATATTTGAAGAAAACAAAACATTCTTTTTTCCATTTGGTGCTGTTTTTCAGAATTTCAGTAATATTATTTTCCAATTCCACATCATTCCATTGTGCTTCATAGGTATAACATTCAGTCAAAATATGTAATTGTCATTAAACAACTAATAGTGGATTAATTGCTTCTTTTATGGAAATCATTATTTTAAGGATTGACTTCTAATAAAATGCTGTTAATTGTAACAATAAAATGGGAATTTTTTACTTATATAACCTTATTTTCTAATGCCATAACCAAGACAATTGGAGTATTATGAAATTCACTATTATTCAGGAAAAAGAAAGAAGATGGACTACTTTGGAGAAAGTGAGATCATAACTGACATAATATTAAATCAATATTATTGACACATATAAGGGGCCGCTTCAATATATTTTCTTCATTCTGGGCCTGAACTAGGATTTTTGCTTGGAGGAGGAAGCTCAATTTTGCTGCCCCTTCATTCACCTCCCGCCACCCCCAATATTAGTCAACATATTATACTTAGTATATTAGTATCAGTATATTAGGCATTGTATTTTAAAATAAATATTATCATCAGATAATATTAATTCATGTCATTGATTGAATTACAATTAAAATAACTCAACAGAAGAAATAAATATTTTTTACATAAGTAAAATAAAAATTTGAAATTTGCCACCTTCTAAATACTGCCGCCCAGGAGCAAGTGTTCCCTTTGCCCTCCCTAGTTCTGGCCTTGTATTCAATTATATTGTTTCAATAATACTGAAATGTAAGGGGCCTTTAAAATTTTTTCAAATAGAATTGAGAATATGTGTGTGGACCAGTCTAGTGCACAGCTGAAAGAAAATCACTTGTGATTTATTAAAGTCCTCTTGGACAGAACTGGTTGATGGAACAAAATAATCAATAGATCTGCTTCCATGCAGGAAGGTTTTTTGCATGTTGCTTGTCATCGTGACAACTGAAAGCTGAAACATGGAGTGATACTGTGATTGAGATATATTACAGCAGATGAAAACTCAAAGTCAAGAACAAATGGATTGGAGAAATTGGACTACATACACTCATGATATAGAGTTTCATAATTGGTCCACCTGAACTTGTTGGCTTTCTGTTTGATTATCTGTGTTCATGTTGATCGCAATCTTCCTTTCTGCACTCTATTTGACTGAGCTTTTGGGTTTAAACGATTAAATGTATGATTAATAAAATGATCATTTTTTATTTTATTGAATTATTTTCTTTTTATAACATTATTTTAATATTGATGCATTATTATGTTGGAACTAATTGATTATTATCACGTGTTCATGTGGTTTTGCTAAATTTTATATATTTTTTAAAAAGAAAGTTATGTTGTCTATTTACTAAGGATATATATTTATTCTGAAACATTATTGTCAAATTTTTAAAGTTATTAGTTATTTTTAAATAGAGCCTAGAGGATATTGTATTGCAATTATTTAAAGTAATCCTTTGATATTTATAAATTAAACTACATGTCTGATGATTATTAAGATGATAAATAATACTTAATAATTTGTTATTTTCATAGAAAAATAGTTTGATTTTTCTATTAGAACAAAAATTCTGACAGTATTATTTATAAACTAAAGTAATAAAATTAGATTAATAAGACGGTTTTATTACTTTTAAAATTAAGAAATTATTTATGTTTTAAATCTATTTGTTTTTTTTTTTAAATTTATTAGTCTAGCTTTTCCTTAATTTCGGAATTCGCAAAGGTCAATCAAACATACTTTTGATTATTTATTTTGATTTTTATCTATCTTTTATTAAACATGGTACCTACGAAACTTAATTTTGCTACAGAAAACTTTACCTTTCAGTTAGCTCCGTCCCACCTGTTGCCTCCTGCCTTGAAGACTGCAGCTACTTTGATAAGAGCAAGGATCTACTTAGTATTGTCTCATCTTTATATACATGAAGTGTTTTGCTATCAATAGTTTTTAAGGTAACTGATTACATATATTAACTTAATAAATAAGTTTTACCAGTCTTCTTGTTTTCAATTTGTGCATGTTTTTCTCTTTTGGTATACATTCATTTTTATTCCTGAAAATCACTGATTACTTTTGTCATAAAAAAAAAAAAAAAAAATACGCAATTTGATATAATAAAAATCTGATGCTGTGCATCACATAATTTTCATTTATTACCTTATTTTCAGTGGCAATAATTTGTTAAGAACTATTTCTTTAATTTCTTAAGAAGTTAATTGAGAATATTACTTTAATACAAACTTACTATAATTAATTTAAAGTATAACTATAATTTTGTGCATTATATATTTTGATTTGTTAAGCTGAAAATAAGTTTTAAAATCTTCCATTTGTTTTCCATGGGAAGATTTATTTGTCATTCAATAATAAACAATGTTGGCTATTAGAATTTTAGCTATTAGACATTAACTCTAACAACTATAAGTCATTAGCTTCCGTCACTCTTCATTATCCTCTTCGATTTTATATGTTAAAAATTAGTTGTTTTGTTTTCTTTAGCTTTCAACTGTACATAATATATTTATAGTACTACTCTTATTTCCAAAAATTTCTTTTTAATTTTTGGGAGTATTTCTCAGTATTAATATGTACTTTACTATCGAATTCTTCCATAGTTCATATTTATCCATTTTGCATTACTGCTGACTATGAAACACCTTTAATTATTTCTAATAATCAAAATTAATGTAACTTTAAAGGAATTAATTTTGAAAATTTGTCATTTAAATCCTGTCACATTATTTCAATCAAATTATGAAAAGTGCCTATTAAGCATAAGTCAATTTAAGCAACAAATTAGCTAAATGTCTACATGATATGGTTTTATCTCTAGAGCAACTCCCAAATCAACAACCATTTTATTTTATGAGGGCTATCTGAATTTCAGGATTCAAGTTGTTGCTTTAATTTAAGGAAAATGTTTTTGGCAGAAAGGTGCCTACATATTCACTCATAAAATATAACCCATAATTGAATTAGTTTATTAAATTCAAAATTTTGTATTTCTTAGGCTTTTGGGTATGAATTATTTTTAAGGATCAGTCATGCACAGCCAAATGTAACAAAAAAGTTATTTTTCTGTTAAATATTCTAATAGTCACCATTCTTATAGCAAATGCTTCGTGACCAGTGGTATTGCTGTGGTGACAGTTAACCTTGCACACTTGTCCAACCCTAAAGATGGTCCAAAAAAACTATATGTTACTTTATAATTTTTAGCTTTGTTTATTAAATATGTTTTCTCATTTGTTATCAATAGGTTTAATTAAGTAAATTAAACTCTCTCAATTTATTAAACTATACCCATTGACAATAAATAAGAAAAAATATTAAATAAAGAAAGATCAAAATTATAAACTGATAAATCAAATGCACTATATGCCTAATAATAGTGAAATTTATGTTGAGGAAATAAATAATTAAGAAAAAAAGGAAAATAATGTAAATTGAGAGTGTTTAATTTACTAATCTAGACCCATTGGCAAAAAAATGAGTAAAAACAAAAAACTATATATTGTTTTATGCTAACTGTTCGTGACCCAACAAAATATAATTCATTATTTTCACAAACAGTCAAGTTCCTATCACTTTTGATTTAAGTTCTTTGGGAATTCTTAATTAATTGTTTTCAAAGCAGTCCACTGTAGAATCTCTGATTATTGAACTCCCTCCCATATATCAAAAATCAGTATGTGAACATCCAACTTTTTAGGAACCTTAAATTTTTATTATAAACAAGTATCGTCAATAATAATAATAATAATAATTAAAAAAAATTCTCTATTTCATGAAGCAATGGAAATTCAGGGAAGAACATGTTTAAGAAAAAGCAATTATGGTAACAATGAGAGGAATATTCTCTGAGTCTCATTTCTAACATCGAGTCAAATTTTCATTTTAAATACAATTTAACTTTTCCTCCTAGTTGAGAACATGATTCCTAAATAAAAATGAAAATTTCAATTAAATAAAAGATAAAAGCTGTATAAAAAAAAAAAATAAGGAGTTACGACTAGGACTGAGTAAAGAAAGTACAAAAATCATGATTCAGTTTTTGAAAATTTTGAAGAAGATTGGAAACAATTTTGATAAAGTGGTATTGAAATATGATACATGTAATATTCTGAAAAATTGTCTTTTATATTTCTTTTATTACAAAAAAGAAATAATTTTTACAATGACTAGGATAAAAATTAATCTTTCTATTATATGGCAAATTTGTTTCAAAGAAACTTTGTGTTTGATACAAAGAGGTTCGAATGTATATATATATATATTTTAGAAATAACACTTTAGTAGTCAATAATAATTAATAATTTAGAAGCACTACATTTACTGATAAAATAATATTGAAAACTAATTATTTATTATTCAACATAAATAGTTGTTTTTTCTACATTATTACTGTTGATATCATATATCACTACTATTTAAATCTCGGCATTGATTATGAATAAGGAAAGTAAAAGGTATACCATTAAATTATTGTTAATTGTTTGTTACAAATATTTATTTTTTTTTTAACTTATATGTGCTGAAGAAAGATTTAAAATCATTGCAATTTTTAATAGATGCTATTCTGTACAAAAATGTATATAATTTTCATTCACGATAAAGATATTACCTAACCCTATTCGTATACTTAATAAAATCAAAAATTTTTTTCAGTCTTTTTAAAAATTGTATATTTAAAAGTTTTAAAAAACATGAATATCATTTTTCCTTATTTAATTAATTATTATATTAAAGTTTATAATGAGTTACATTCTTTAGTGCAGTCTTTTTTTCTTCTTCTTCTTTTACCTCTTTCCTCCTCTTCTTGACCTTCAAATTTGACTTTACCATTAGTTATATACTTTTTTGAGGAATCTGTGTTGGCTGATTATAATAAGCTTTTATAATATCAGCTCCACGCTCAGCAATCATTATAGTTGGAGCATTTGTATTCCCTCCCGTTACAAAAGGCATGATTGAAGCATCGATAACTCTTAGATTTTCTATCCCGTGAACTCGAAGATGTGGATTAACCACAGATTCTATATCAGTGCTCGGTCCCATCTTACACGTACCCACAGGATGAAATATGGTTGTTGTGTAACTCATTGCAACACAGGAATAAAACTCTTCACTATAAGTTGTATAATTATTACAAAGAGAAAGTAATTGTAACTGAAGAACATTATTATAAATTTCCATTGCTGTCGAGTTGGCCACAGCAGATACATATTTCAGTGCTTCTACTACTGTTTGTAGGTCCTGCTGTTCACCAAAGTAATTTGGATTTAATAATGGATATTCGTAGGGATTAGTTGATTGTAATGATATTCTTCCCCTGCTTTTGGGGTGAATAAGGAGTCCTAAACCAAACCAAGTGCTGTTATAGTTTTGCAAATTTAAATAATATGAAGTAAAATGTATTTCAGCGTCTGGATAATCAAGAGATGAGTTTGAAAAAGTCGAATTTAAGAATGCTACTGCTTCGATTCCTATAGGTGATGTCAGTGGTCCTGTTCCATTTGGCTGTGAATACTCTACTATAGCTTCTATGTTTTCATATGATGAGGCTGTGATCGCTACTGGAGGATTGGTCTTATAAAAAAGTGGAGCACCACAATGATCTTGAAGATTGTAACCCACACTCAAATTCCGAATCACGGGAATGCCAAATCTATTTAATTCATCAGCAGGACCGATTCCTGAAAGCATTAATAGCTGAGCTGAATTGATCGACCCTGCTGATATTATTACTTCCTTTTTAGCTGTTACATTTATTTCTTGATTGTTCCTTATAAATGTGACACCTACAGCTTTGTTGTTGATAAAATTTATTTTTGTCACAAACGATTCTTCGGCTACATTTAAGTTAGTCCGGTTTCTTACTGGTCGTAAAAATGCTTTTCCTGTTGAACATCTGGAACCATTTCTGAGTGTCCCTTGTAATGCCATAAACCCAGTTTGTTGTTGTGCATTGATGTCTCGAACTTGAAAGCCTATCTCTTCTCCACCTGCTAGATATGCATTTAATAATGGTGTCTGATAGTTTACATTAGAAACAGTCTGGTAACCTCCAGTAGAATGGTATGTCGTATCCATTGCGTATATTGGATTCCGGTTGTCTTCTGATAAGCGGAAGTATGGTAAAACTTCCTCATAAGACCAGCCAGGGTTTCCTAGAGCTGCCCATCCATCATAATCTCTTCTATTACCTCTTACATATACCATGAAATTGAGTGTGCTGCTTCCTCCTATTACTCTTCCTCTTGGCCAAGGACAAATTCCACCAGTGGCTGCAACAAAGTTTATTAATAAGCAATTTATGTTTATGTTTTTCTATTCCATTCTATAATGTAATTTATAACTTATTTCTAACTATTTATACTTGTTTACAAATGATTCAAATTTTGATAAGGTTAGAATTTTTAATTCAATTGACTTTTTACTAAAATAATTGAATTAATGGTAAAAAGAGTAATTATGGCTGTATCTATGCATACCTTTATACATAGGTAATTGTATATAAATGACCACTATAAATGTATTTAGATACCCATAGCTACCAACTGCTGTAATCTGAAATTATGAATGTGTAAAATTGGCCATATTTAAGAGTAAACAAGCAAGAATTATTGTTTTTGTTTAATGTATAGTATTAATATTTGGAAAACTTATTATTATTGTATTAGAGCCACAGTCTGTGAATTAAAATTTTGAGTAACACCATAAAACATATAAAATTATATAATAAAATAAATACACATATAAAATTATGTGCCCTTTCAAAGACACATATTCAGCCTATGAGAGGGCTGTGAAGAAGTTTGAAATCCTACATAAACCTCAATGCTTATTTTATTAAATTTAAGTTACAAGTGTCAATAATTAGTGCCTTTACTCCTAGTGTATGAAAAAAAATGTAATTGTAGTTCACCAATAAATCACAATTAAACTAAATCCCAATGAAAGAGAAACAACAGTTAAATTTAATAATAGTCTAACCAGGAAAAAAAAAATTATTACCTCAATTTGTGCTCTTAAAATCAATACTATGAAATTAAATTCAAATGTTCAAAATTAGCAATTTCATCCAACAGAAATACAAGTCCTGTATTATTCATATAAATATATTTTTTTTCAAAATGGTACATCATTTTTTTGGAAATGATTATCATCGAAAAAAGTAAAAATGAAAAAAAAAATCTGGTGTGCGCAACACATAACTTTCACTTACTTACGTATTTTTTCTTTTCTTTTTTTTTAGACAAAGTCTCCATAGGTAGATACTTTTACAATAGGTTATTTAACAAATTATTTAATTATCAAACTTTACTAATTTGAAATTACAATTTTAAAAATTATTGTTAACAAATTTGAAAAAAAAAAAATTTATTTTGTTCATAAAACAATTTTATAAATTAAATGAGAATAAAAAAAGTGACTACACATCATTTTATCACCCTTTCCCGATACTTGGAAAGTTCTATTTTTATCGTAAAGTTTAACTGAAACCCTATTAAACATCTATATGATGGGTTTTTAAGATGTATAAATAAAGACCCATTTTTATCATTAAATATTTTGGAAATTAAGGATTGTTATGATGAAAGAAAAAAAAAATGATTAGTTAAATTTTGAATAGAAAAAAAAAATGAAAATATTGTATTAAAGTTTCTTGCGTTTTGGCCTAAAATTACAGTGTTCTCCATTAATACGATCATAATACTATAAAGACATAAACAAAAATTATAAAGACTAAAAATAAATATAGATAGGTATAAGTAATTATGGGAATGATACAAAACAATAGAAAAGAGAAATTAATTATTATTGATTAAAACATTAAAATAATTACAAAATATTTTAAAATAAATAGACCCACAAAAGCTCACTTCCCAGTGGGAACTAACTAGAAATGACAATATAAAAGGAATTTTTTAGGGATGGTGTGAGAGAGTTTAACTTAATTTTAAATAAAAAATAAAGCCACCTTTAATATACTACTGAATCTATAAAATCAGCCATGAAAATGTAATACAGGGTGTAAATAAAATTTTTGTTTTTTAAAATCTTTATATTAAAAAGAAATATAGACTTAAAATGATACAAGATCAGCTTTCTTTTCAAAATTATATATAAGGTTGAAATTTTCTATTGCTTAAACATATCTCTGAACTAACAAATTCCCCTTCACAATTCAGTGATCAAAAGAGGCTGATATACTTTCGAGGCTAATTTCACCTATTATTATTTTTTTTAAATTAATATTATTTATTACATTACCCTCCTTAAATTTGTTAACTAAATTAAAATTGTTCTCCCCATATAAAGACTGAGGCTACCCTTTCACTAAGCTTTTATGGAGTTAAAGTATATAATAATAAATAATAATAATAATAATAAAAGGCTTAGCTAACCCGAAGGTTCGATGCCGACACCACCAATCGCTTATTACACACCTCTCTCCACCGTTCGTCGTCCAAACCCAGTCACTTCAGATTGGCTTTAATGCAATCTTCTCATCTTCGCTTCGGTCTATCCCTCGGACGTTTACCATTCGGTACAGCAAATATTAACCTTTTAGGAATTCTCTCGTTACTAAGCCCAACAGCTTTACAAGCCCATTTGATTCACCGCGATGAAATTACCTCAATTATATTACCCGATTACAGTTCCCACAATTCGATGTTGTGTAACCGTCTGAACCCTCAGGTTAAGTTTTTTTTTTTTATTTATTTATACATGATATTTACAACTGTATTAAAAAATTAAATACATTAAGTAAATTCAGGTTAAGTTAAAGTATAAATTTAAAAAAAAAAAAAAAAAATTAAAATTATGGCAATTAGACTAACTTCATATTATTTTATTTGTTAAAAAAATAATTTCATTTATGGAATAATGGTACCGAATTTCACAAATTCAAAGCTTAACTCCACCATATCAGAATTAAAATTACTACGTCTTTTGTCATTTGTCATACACATATAAAATATCCTTTAGTTTATTAAATAAAATATAGTTAACGAGTATAACATGGAATATATTACGTTTATGTAGGAGCTAAAGTCAAATCTAAATATAATGAGGAAGAGAGAAACGACTGTGAAAGAAATAATTGCTTAAATAAAATTTATTATTTTTATTTTTCTGTATTACTATGTTTTGTCGCTTATAATTGTTTTTGACTGTGTTGTGGCATTCTTTTTTTCATACATTATAATAATAATATTTTAAATCCATCTTTATTTGTTATTTTTCCCATTTTTTGTTCTTTGTTGTAGCCCTGACATTGGCCTACGTCATATCACTGGAATTCCATGGTTGACCATTAATGTCATTATTTTGAGGAAAACAGACCAATATTTTTAAATACGAACCCCTAAATATTTTTAAATGTGAAGTTAATAGTCAAAAGATATAAAGTTTTCCTTTAGTAAAAAATTATTAATATTTCTTTATTTCATCTTTATTAATTATAATCAAAATTGCATCAATAAGGATTTGTGTTTTTACTTAATTTATTGGTCAAACCAGGAACAATATTGAATTAAATTTTATATTTTTCATGTTTATTTTATATTTATTATGCTCATTATAATCTTCCAAGTGCTATTTCCTGGCTTGATTTAAAATTAATTTATGAATTGCTGTGCTGGAAAATTTATTTTTATTGCTTTCATCCTTTTTGGCCTCTACTCTTACTAATAGTCTTAAGTCAGGATGGTATAAATAAATTTTCTGTTACTTTTATAAAGAAAAAACAAATTAGCAAATAATATAAAATTTATTATTAGAAGTCAAAAAACTCTTCTGATAGAATATTCTCAATCAATGCTGATATAGTATTCAGGGGAAAATATTGAACAAACTAAAGGTGGAAAGCTTGTGAACCTCAGTACAACCTGGATTGCCCTTTCAAAATTTTCAGAGCCCATTTTAACAGGATTTTTAAAATTTGGAGGGAACCATATTTTTGAGGAGAATTCAATTTGGGAAAACTATGAAACCAAGGAAAAAGAGCAAAAACGTGGAACAGGTCACAGCAAGTATGATTGTAAATGAACTGCATTTTTATATTAAGGAAATTATACTTAAGAATTTAGTCTCCCAATATACTTGACAGATGATCAGCTTAATATTAAATATTAAACCGAAAAGTAATTATTCTGTTAATAAAACATGTTTTGTTACAATATGCTTATTTATTAGAATTATTAAAAGTTTGATAAGAATAAATCAAAGAAATATCTAAGGAAAATATGAGAGAAAAAGGAAAATGAAAAATTATTTAAAGAAACCCATCAGATTTCATTGATCACGACTATTGGCCACTTTATTTTATTTATTTTTTTTTTTATTTATTTTTTTTTTTTATTTTTTTTTATTTTTATTTTTATTTATTATTTTTTATTTTTTATTAAATAGAAAATAAATTAACTATTAAAGTAAATATTTTACTTTTATGGATAAAATAATTAGTATGAAGTTTTAAAATTCTTTTCCGATAAGTATTTCCTATACATTTTTAAATCTTTTGTAAAACTTTCATGAAGTATTTAAAATAAAAATTATATTTAAGACACTAATAATAGATAAATTTATCAAAAATCCCTGGATATAACTAATTTCAAAGATTCCTTAAAATTTACCAACATACAATCCTTATTCCATTTAAAAATTATTGGAGAGTTGCGGTTTGTAATGGTGTATCAAATATTAAGCAAGACCAGTGGTATAATTACGGTAGAACACTTAGAGCAATTTGTTCCAGTTGCTGACTTGGAAAGGACACCATATCGAGAAAAAAAAAAAAAAATAATAATAAGAAGAAGAAAATTAATTCTGTATCTAATAAATTAACACAGCTAACAATTATAATTACTTCAGTATCACAAGGCAGAAACACAATAGAGAATAGTGATAGGTTTTCTTTTATTTAATGCACCAAGATAACACTGCCACTGAGTATGACTGTTGGTAAGCCAAATTGTTATCACTTTTCTATGAAAGTCAGGCCTATTCAAACGAAAAGAATTTTTTGCTGAACATTTTCTAAACCACTCACATTATCCTATTTGTTATTTAGAAATGATAAAATTGCTTCCTTTTCTAATTATATTCTTTATTCAAACATATAACATTAACAACTAAAGATAAAAATGTATATGAAATTAAAACATGCAGACTAATCTAATCGATCGTTTTCTATTAAGAGGTGCAGAGCACCCTTAACACCAGAGCAAATATCTCTCTTAATAATTCAGGCATAATTTATTTGAGGGATCTGTGTTGGCTGATTATAGTAAGCTTTAATAATATCAGCTCCACGCTCAGCAATCATAATAATTGGAGCATTTGTATTTCCTCCCGTAACAAATGGCATAATAGAAGCATCAATGACACGCAAATTTTCAATGCCATATACTTGAAGATTCGAGTTGACAACAGCTTCTGTATCTGTGCTTGGCCCCATCTTACAGGTACCGACGGGATGAAAAATAGTTGTTGTATAATGTTCTATTACACAGGTATAAAATTCATCACTGTAAGTAGTATAATTATTGCAAAGGGTAAATAATTGATCTTGAATAACACTGTTATACTTTTGCATAGCTGTCGAATTGGCTACAGAGGACACATATTTTAAAGATTGCATTAATATTTGGAGGTCCTGAGGTTCATTGAAGTATTTGGGATCTATCAAAGGATGTTGGTAAGGGTCAGGTGATTGTAATGTTATTCTACCTCTGCTTTGTGGATGGATTATCAGCCCGACTCCAAACCAGATGCTATTATTGTTGTCTAGATAATTTACATAAGAAGTAAAATGTATTTCAATGTCTGGATAATCAATCGAAGAATTTGTATATGTCGAATTAAGGAAAGCAATTGTTTCGATACCAGCTGGTGATGTCAGTGGGCCAGTTGCATTTGGTTGAGAATATTCAAATACAGCATCTATATTCTCATAGGATGGGGCAGTAATTGCTACTGGAGGATTGGTTTTATAAAAAAGTGGGGCGCCAACATGATCTTGAAGGTTGTAGCCTACGCTCAAATTCTGAATCACAGGAATTCCAAATCTATTTAATTCATCAGCAGGACCGATACCTGAAAGCATTAATAGTTGAGGCGAATTGATCGACCCTGCTGATATTATTACTTCTTTTCTAGCTGTTACATTTATTTCTTGATTGTTTCTCATGAATGTTACACCTACTGCTTTGTTGTTGATTAAATTTATTTTAGTCACGAATGATCCTTCTGCAACATGAAGGTTGGTGCGATTCCTTACTGGCCTTAGGAATGCTTTTCCTGTTGAACATCTGGAACCGTTTCTAAATGTGCCTTGTACTGGCATGAAACCAGTTTGATATTCTGCATTTATATCTCGAACTTCAAAACCTATCTCTTCTCCAGCTGCTAAATATCCACTGACAAGAGGTGTTTGATAACTTAGATCTGTGACTGTCTGATAACCTCCAGTAGAGTGGTAAGTTGTGTCCATTTCATATATTGGATTCCTGTTGTCCTCTGATAGACGGAAGTAAGGTAGAACTTCCTCATAAGACCAGCCAGGGTTTCCTAGAGCTGCCCATCCATCATAATCTCTTCTATTGCCTCTTACATATACCATGAAATTGAGCGTGCTGCTTCCTCCTATTACTCTTCCTCTTGGCCAAGGACAAAGTCCATCAGTTACTGTAACAAAATAAGATTTTCAAGAGTCATGATTATATGAGCTATTTTCTCTTTAAACTACAAAAAAAAAAAAAAGGAAACGGATTGCTACTTATGTCATCTTGTTTGATTCTTGCATGTTCCATCTCAAGATTCTTTTGGTTTTCCCTGACGTATATATTTGACTCATCATGATGAAACATTTAACTCAATATTTTTACGAAGTAATATCAAAAATAAAAACAAAATATTAGATTTTTTTCTGTTAAATCTTATAAATGTTATTTCAAATTATATCAATATCAGAAGTTATGGTTCATAACTAATACTTATGATTTTATCAAAACATTACAATCAATAATGATGTGAAATAAAGAGATAGTATGAAAAACGATCATTATGGGGTGGGCTAAAAAAGGGTTACCCATTCCTTTACATGATAGTAATACAATATTAATTTAATTATTGTTGCAAAAATATCTGTAACCATTTATAATGAATACATCAACTGGCTTCCATTAAATACAATTTGTTAGAATTGTTAATCAACATCATTTGTAAGTTGGTCGCCTTACCTGTTTCGTGAAACATCTTAATATCTTTCAATTCTGAATCGTATCTTCTAAGGTTTTCTCTTAGCTATAGAACCAGATGTGACATAGAGCGAAATTGGTTAATTTTAGTTTTTTTTTCTGATTTTTTTACTGTTATAACTGGATTTGCTTATTTAGTAGCTCCCTAATGATTCCATATAATTTAACAATCTAGCTTTAACAGAGCGAAAACTGAATTTGCCTTCTTGAACATTTTAAAATTAGCATTGTTTTTTTATCTTATTTGTGAGAGCAGCTCTTTCTTCTATGTTAAATTATCATAACAAAATAAGTTGATGGTGTTTGTCAGTCACTAAAAACTGTAGGATAAACATAGATATTACATTGACAAAATATGTGAACAAAAAACTAATAACTTTAAATATTTTAAAAGTACCTGTTACTACCAAGACAAATGGCTTAGTTTTTTAAAAAAGCTGACATCAATTAAATGTGACACACATTAACATTATTTATGGGATCACCCTATACTTTCCTGAAGTGTTTTTTTGAAATATATACATATATATTATTTAATAACTTTCATAAACAAATATAGTAAAATGATCAGAAGAGTTAAAGTGAGTACTTACCATTTATTTTTTTGTTTTCTTTTAAATGAATTATTATCTTGACCAATATTTCATTCTGAACAAAATTTTAAATTCCAAAAATATTCATATTTAACTGAGAATAGTGTGTTTGTGAAATATATTCTTATCTATTCTTATTTAATAAATATTTACCCAAACATGCCCTCGGTTGTCTTGTTGTTGTATAATTCCAATTTAAGGGCGAATTCCACAAAGTTCCAGCCAACAATGGTGTATCACTTATAATAGTTTCTTCACCACCAACTTCCAACAATAGTACCGTCCAATTAGCTATTTCTGTCAGTCTATTTGCTAGTACGCAGCCTATAAATAAATGAATTATGAAACACCAGTTTTGTGTAGTTGTATTAAGTAGTAATGAGACACATTTAAGAGGATTAGGACTGAATAAATAAATATTGTTCAAAGATAAGTTTAAAGTGTATGTTGATTTTTTCTTATGAATTAGACAGTAATATTATGTTACTGACATCAGAATAAGAAAAAAATCTTAAGCATACCTGCACTTCCAGCGCCTACAATGATAAAATCGTATTGTTGAGATAGCTCTGGTGTTGGCACGTTTATAGCACGAAGGTTGGGATCAATGGAGGGGTAATTGTAGTATGCAACACTTGCCATGAGGATTATGAAGAAATTAACTATGTTGGGGGACATCCTGTTGAAACATAAACATGCTTTTTAAGAAATAATGTTGTTTTTATATTCTAGTTTAGTATTATAGATTTGTCTGAATTTTATTATAGGAATAAAAAAAAACACAGTTTGTCTAGTTTTTTAAAACAATGTCCTTCAGATATTATTTTTTATATAGCATATTATCTTAAATATTGCAATGAAGAGAGACTCATAGGTCTGTCATCAAATATCTAGTTAATAAAAAACTGTTTTCTTTATCGATTCATAAATATATTTTGTTTTTTCACATAATAATATTTTTATTTATTTAGAAGCTTTTATCTGTAAAGAATTTTATAATCCATAAATTAAGGTTAGTTACTATTATAATAATGATATTAGTTAAATAGGATACATTTAATTATATATAATCTTATTGCCGATTGTTTATAATTATATTTGCTATATTTATGGTAGGTAAAATACTTATTCCCCTCAAATTTTGTTTAGATTTATGATTTTTGGCAAAGCAGGTGGTCTTAGATTGAAAAAAATCTCTTCTAACACGAAATGTCCGTTCTCTACTTTTGTAAGTTTTTAATAGAATATATAATAAAAAAAAAGAGTAAATATTATTATAATTAATTATATTATGTTTATAATCAAATGAAACTTAACACTGGACTACCTAAATTATGTGCATGCACCTAATTTATAAATTAGCGAATCTAATATTTCTTCAACTTCTTAATTTTATAAAATGTTTACGTACACTTTGTTTGTATTGAAGCTAACATATTAAAGTATTGAAACTTACATATTGAAGCTAAATGTAATCAGCGAAAGAAGATGGAGAATTGACAATAGTGTTAGCTGTTATTATAGTTATTCTCCTTCATGTGCAAAATTACTATTGTGTTTAAGCATTGGCCTCAGGGAATTTTTTGTATCTTGATTTATTTATGACTTAGCATCTAGGTCAAGTGTGACTTCAAACCATAAATTAGATATAACCATTGACAATTTACGTAAGTGAAGAATTTGTCTAAGTACAAAAATTACGTTATCACTATTCAAACCTGTTTTAAATTCATTTTTATGTAATCACTTCCTTTTTCTTTCTTTTCATTAAAATATATATATATATTTGTTTAAATTTTTATTTCAGTGGAATAGTCTATCTACATTCTGCATTTTCTTTACATCTATTTTTTTCTCCCAAAGACATAAACTTTTCACCACAAATCCCATTTTTTTTTCCATATCTCAGCTTAGCATTATTTGTTTGAACCATTTTATATAAATATTGGTCCAATTTTTGGCAGAAAAGTAGAAATTTGAAGTTTTGTGTTTTTTAAGCTACTTTTTTTGTTGGATAGGAAACAATAGTTAAATAAATATTTATTTTTAGTAATTTAAAATTGCTTCAGTATAAACTAGACAAAATTTACTTTCCTCTAAGGCGTCTGAAAAGAAGATGGCCCAGTGATCTCCTAATGTAGACATATCATTAGCGTAGTACCATTTAGTTATTCAACAAGGGTTTTCACATCATTATATCCATATGTTCAAATTTACTAAATGTATTTTTTTAATACAGTTGTAAATATCATTAAAAAATAAAAAATAAATAAATTACTTTAGACGAAAATAGAGTTTGTCATTGCCAAAACCATTTAAAGAGAGTTTTTGAGTGGCTAAACTAAGGAAGGTTCAATTGAAGAGAAGTTGGTAGTGGTGTTCTGTCAAACATAGAAAAAAATGTAAAAATAAATGAATTATCATGGGTGATAAATATTCAGGACGTAGTCATTATAAATATTTTTGATTTGTGCGGATGTTTCAACTCAAACATGTGGGTCATCATAAGGGCGTGGTTCGAGCACTGGCAGTTTTCAATTACTCAATACTTAGAATACTGATATGCCTGATGATGACCCACATGTTTGGGTTGAAACGTCGGCACAAAGAAAACTTTTTTATAATGACTGCTTCATGAATATTTATCACCCATGATATGTAGAACAGTCGACTAGCTTCCTTCAATAATAAATGAATTATATTTATTTTTATTATTGTCAACGTTTCAGGCCTTCATCGGGGCTGTTCTCGTGGAAGGTGCCGAAAGACTAACTAGGTTCTGTATAAGCCAGAAGAGATTCTAGGTTCTGTTTTTTAAGAAATCATTAATTATTAACAATTTTTTTTATCATCCTCCAACTATACTATACTCACTCCACTTTAAGCAAAACTTTCTCATTTAATAAGCTTTAAGCCCTTATTAATTGAGTTGAGATTTATTAGAAAAAAACTTCAGATTCATCTCAAGTTTTGTTAAAAAATTATGTGATTTTATATCCTGTCAGTTAAAAGTATTCGTTTTTCAGCAAAAATGACTATAATAAATTGTTATAATGCTTTTATTTCTAATTTTTCCATGATTTAGGATGTATTATAATATTATAACATTTTCCTTTACTTACAGGACACCTTGCATATATATATATATATAAAGCTGATGAGATCATTTAAATAAAAACAAGTTTATTGTGATCATTATTGTCACCGATGTCTCGATATGGGTTTTGGGGTGAGATAAAGCTGTTTAATTAGATGTTAAATTAGTATGTGTAATTACTATGTGAAATAAAACAATTTCACTATTTATTGATTATTCAAGAATTTGCAAAGCATTTTAAATAAAGATATACAAGTAAGTTTAAATGAATACATTTATGAATCACATCATAAAATTCTTCTACAAAGGTTAACTAAAGTGGGTAATTGTCCTTTAGTGATTTCTAATAAAAAAAATTTGTTGAGTATCAGTCCATTAATTGTCCACCTAAAACAAAATAATAAGTTTAAGTATTGTTTTCTTAAGGTTTTTGAAAATAAAGTACTACGTAGAATATTCGGACCAAAGAAGGATGAGTTAATCGAAGAGTTCAGACGGTTACACAACGCCGAATTGCGTGAACTGTATTCGGTAAATATAATTGAGGTGATTACATCGTGGCGAATCAAATGGGCTTGCAAAATTGTTGGGCTTAGTAACGAGAGAATTCCCAAAAGGTTAATATTCGGGTTCACTAAGCCTTTAATTCTATTGTATTTATTATTTTCTTAGGTGACTGGTAAAAGTAAGGAATGTGGAAATCATATTTTTTAATTTCATTTGTTTATCATAACAGCATACCAAGCCTACCTTGCTTTAGAGTTCAAAATCTCAAAACCAATTATAATTTTTAAAAATTTGCTAAATAACTTTTTTGAAATTATGTTCAATTTTTTTTCTCTCTCAAAATGTAAAGAAGTCCACATTTTTACTTTCACTTACCTATATATGAAATATATAGTTAGGGAAAGTATTGCGATGTCCCCTGAGTCGAAATAACCATGTCCTGCAAAATAGTCTGTGTGTGTGTTAAGAGTCTAGCTCAAAAACGAAAAGTCATACGAAAGTGAAATTGCATATTTAAGGTTTTTATATGCTTGGTATGTTACAACAACTTTTTCGTCAAAATCAGCAAACTGGAAGTGGCACTTTATATCATGGACTATACATATTTTTACGATTTTCTTGAAAACAGCTCTAAAGATTTTTATTATGTTCATTATATCAGTGTAAAATTAAGCAGTTTTAAATCTAATATAGGTTTTATTCTGATTGATGTTCTCTAACAGAGCTTAAATGGCTAATTTTCAATATTAGCTTCCCCTAAAGCACCATTAATTTTTTATTTGAAACAATTTACCATTTCACATTCATCTCTAATATAAAAGATAGTTAAATAAAAAATAAGAACGAATTTGATAATTAACGGAGAAATAAGAGATCGTAACGAGAACAGTTATAATGGAGGAACATATGTGATTTTTATAAATGCTATTGTTGGAGTTATTTAATATTTAATTGTATAGACTACAGCGATATAAATATTAAAATTTGTACATATAAGGGTACTTATACAAATAAAAATACCCACAATGAAATATAAATCAATATAATGAATTAACAACATTTTTCATTTCTTATGTTACCTTATTTTGATTATGTTTATTTCATTAGTCCCTAATTTGCTGCTGCTATTATTTATTTCTTACTTCTCTGCTACTGTTATTATTTTACTTTAATGTTCACTCTACTTTATTTTACTTAAGTTTATTCTACCTACATTTTTTAGTCTATAACTTTCACCTTTCCAATTTTAATTCTTTATTATTCAATGTTTATAGTTTCTCATATTTATTGCTTATAATAGATAATTATAAATAAATACAATTATTTATTTTTACTATTTTTTTTTTTACTGATCACCCCAACCATCCTTCCCTTCAATTATTCACTACAGTCAACCACCAATCCACAAAGTAAAAATAAATACATAATTTTTATTTGTATTTAAAATATTTTTATATTATTAAAAATTAATATAATACTACTAGGTTTAATAAGTAATCCATCGATATTTATTTATTTCCCTCACCTTTCCTTATTTTTTCGACAATATGGGATTCTGTTTTGTTTTATACAAGAGAAAATTTAACTCTTTTGTTATATTTCAATCCTGGAGTCATCCCAGATTGAGACTGTGAAAGTCTCCGTCTTACTTCCATATTGAAATGGGCAGCGCCTATTTGTTCCTTCCACCCATACATGAATGCCCCATAGAAGGGGTAGTTATCTGCAGCGACGAGTAGAGGTAAATCTCTTTTGTTGATACTGCAGATATTTGTGCTCCCTCCAAATTAGCTTGGCCCTCAGTGCCTCGAACGCATTTGTGATCACATGTTTTGCAGTGTCCAGGATACCAAAACTGGAGCATAGAGGATTGATGTCTTGTCCAATACTGTGTAAATTGCCACGAAAACCCCCATGTCCATTGAGGAATTGAGAGACCCAATAGTCTGGTTTGATCCATTTGGCTGCTAGACCAGACTGTATGGTGGAAAAATACTTCCTTAGGATAGCCCCTTTAGTGGTAGTGATCCATCGCCTATTCCACTCTTCGACGGTAGCTTCTCAATATTAATTTCCATCTATTGGGCCATTCCTCAATCCTTACTCGAAGGTTCTCCAGATTCTGCCAAGGCTTCTCTCTTTTAGGCATATTTGATCAAGTCTTCTTGCAGGAGATCGAGAGGTATCTCCCCTGCTAAGATCTGCACTACCTCATGAGACACTGTCTTTTATGTTCTGGTGACCCGCGGCAGGCGTCCTCTGGATAGATACTAACTTGCTCTTCTTTCAGTTGGGAAGGTCTAGGTACAGACCATCCACATGAACTTAAAAAATCTAATTTGCAATTACGTACAGTAAAAATATTGTACAATTTTAAGATTTCGGGTGAGAAAATAGAATGAAAATTAGATAAACGACCTTCTTGGTCTCAATGTGAGACTGTACATTTATAAAACATTTTGATTCAGTTATTTTATTATGGCCTAAATTTAATCCACTGCACTGTTTTTGTATTTAACAGAATAACATTTATTAAAGAAAAAACAGCTCATTAGCCTTATCTCCAATACCTTCAAATGATGATCAACTGTGAGGCCCTCTGACTGAAACTAAGGGTCCGAATTCTTTTTAAATGCTCAACTTTAAATTATGTTTCATTCCTCTTTCTTTCCACTTGATTCATTATTTTCAACCTCTGATAAAGTTTGGATACAGTCGACTACGCGATAGATAGCTTCTCATGTGTTAGATGAAGCTTGGATGTGCCTTACATACCAGCACATGGTCAATTTGGATTTTCATACCTTCAAGGCTTACCAGGTGTAATTGTGTATCTCAAGATATTATTGTAATACTGAATAAATTTATAGTTATAAATTTATTATTATTATAGAGAATGTTTTGTATAATCATTTTGACATGACTAGTCGGATTGAAGACATTTGTGTTACTTGACATATGGTTTTTAAGTTGTTATTCTCAATTTATTTAAAGTTGTAGAGACCTAAGAATCATAAATATTTTTCATTTTTTAAAAGTTTGTGAAATTTACTGATGTATGTACTCCATCCTTTCCCATGTTGAAGGTATTAAAATATGTCATATATTCACTTCTTTTGTCAACATATTTTCAAATTTATTGATACGAATAAAAAAAAAAAAAAAATGAGAAATTACTAGTATATAAATTTATTTTTTAACACAGTATGATATTGTACATTTTAAAACAATTATGTTGATTAGGTCAATTTTCACACTTAATTTGTATAAATTATATAAACTTCTGGCCCTTTTTTGGGCAATCAATCACCTCCCTCCCCTCCCAATTATAATGGAAAGTCTGAGCCTATGATTTAAGTACTTGTTTCATTAAAATTTCTTTTTTTTTTTTTCTCAATCAACTATGAGTATGTTCGTCCAAGGAACAACTAGAAATGATAGTGCTAAATATTGTTTGTATCTCAATAGTTATGGAGAAATGTAACAAAGGAAACTGGCGTTTTCATTTTGTCATCAGTTTGTGCTGCTCTTCTATGGTGCAATGTGTTGCTGGACTGACAATTTAAGTGACTTAGAACTAATATTAAATTAATGTAGAAATATTGTTAATAAAAATTGCTAAGTTAGTTACTACATTTTTTTTTTTCAAGAAACTAAATGATATAAGGGTAATTTAAAAACTGAAGTTTCAAATATTTTTATTATTTATTTCCATACATAAATGCTATTACATTATTCAATGAACATGTCAATGTGCTTGTGCACAACATAAAGTATATGTACTGTACATAGCTAATTAATAATAACTAATTTTAAATAACTTAAAAATTTTATCAAGTAAAATTTTACTTCAATGTAATGATTAATAATTAACAGGACTTTAGAAGACCAAAGGAAGCTTTACCCAGTCAAATACAAAAATACATTGTAATTTTATAGAAGAATAAATATAAATATATATATAGATACTAAAAAACTATAAAAAAAAATGATAAATTAAAACAACACAAAATTTAAGTTTGTGAAGATGTACTGCCCTGTTTTATTTTTATTTATTTTTTTTAAACTCAGTACTTGTATAAAACTTCAATTTTGGTTTATTCAAATTATTATAAAATAGGATTAACAATTATTAATGAACTTCTATTTTGAAGTGTTAAAATATTTTTTTTACCTACAGGAAATTTTTTTAAACTTTTGAAGACCATATATTTTTCGTAGCCGTCAGGTATTTCTTACTTTACCAGATATATAATTAATATTTTGTATTAGAATATAATTTCAAAGGACGTCAAGCTTATTTAAATGCATTGGCAAGGCGATAACGGGAAGGAAGCCAGTTGCAATTTCAAGCTCTAAATATGAGGATTTTTCAACTAGTTGAGGGAGAGGATGAGGGTAAAAAAATGGAAGGGAAATGCAATAAGCTGCAAAAAAGACGAACAGGCATTAAAAAAAAAATGTCGACATTATATATTATAATAAAGTAATATTAATCGATTTTGCTGACAGATTAATAACCCAATGTATTACTTCAATTAGACATGTTTTTACTTTGTCTGTGTGGAACCACTGCACTAAATAACATTGTTATAAAAAAATAATGAAAGACAAATGGTATTAGATGGTTTTAGACATACAGTGTTAAATAGGTTAATGTTAATTTCAAGATTTATTTGGACCATTGCAGTCGCTTCTTCAATTTCATAAAATAGTTAATGGTATGTAATGAGCTACTGAATAATCCATCAAGAATTTTCACCTAAAATATATTATTTTTTTAAGAGCATTTAGAACCTAATAATATCAAATTATTTAATAAAAATTTTTTGGGATTATTATTCAGCAATCATGTATTTAATATGGATAAGAATAGAGTATCAAACAGCTCTCACCTTTATATTTAATAGAACTTGATATACTAGTTCCTTTTAATTTGTGATTTTTTTCCTAGACATAAACAAACTTCTATTTACACATATTAAGTTTGTGAAAGTCTAGAATACAAAGATTAAAATGTTCATTAGATACAGTGATTTCAAATTGTGCAATTTACCATTAATACAAAGCAATATATAATTTATACAAAGGTGAAAATATTTTGTTGATTAATTAATATGGAGTGACTGTATATCAAATCCAGAAATTTTATTATTGTAAAATTTTTATACACAAGATTAAAAAAAAAAATCATCTGCCATTATTAGTATATAGAAAGAATTGAAATTGCAGACAGATAGTCTTCTCGTTCAAACAACATTAAGCAGTAGTCTGAGCTCTTGCTGAGTTAGACATACCTTCTTGTAATCTAGAACAAGTTTGCGATGATACACTATCTTGTTTCACCAGATGTGTCTGAGAAGACATGTTGCTCTGGAGAATGCTTGTAGTTTGTGAGAACTTTGAATCTTGGTTAGCTGATGCATTTTCTTCTGATAGTTCACTTTCTTTTAAGGTTTGAGAAGAAATACTATCCTGCATTATCAAATGAGTTTGTGAAGAGGCGCTGTCTTGTTTTACCAAACGAGTTTGAGAAGATGTGTGATCCTGCTTTACTAAACAAGTTTGTGAAGATGTACTGCCCTGTTTCACTTTATCCCCACTATTCTCAACCTGAGAACAGTCACAATTTAATTTTTTGTCACCGAACGATTGATTGGTTTGTGAATAAGTACTATCTTGTTTTATTAAGCATGTCTGTGATGAAGTACTGTCTTGCTTGACACTTGGTGTTTGAGAAGAACTTAGGCCTAAATCCATTTCCTCTTTTTTTTCTAAACTATTTGGTGAATCTACGGTTATCGTAACTGGACCATCATTTTGTAAAGAAATCACCAAATGGGCTCCAAATATTCCTTCTAAAAACAAATTAAAAAAAAATAGAAGTTTTATTAAACAATACAGTGACAGTGGTATTCAATTTGTATGCTTGGATATAAGGTGAATTTCAGTTATTTTAAAACCAATATTTAAAACTTTCAAATAAGCTTGGATTAGCAAGGGTCCAAAAGCTAATGATAGTTCACAAACTTATGTTTTAAGCACAAATCAAATAATAAAACATATGTAAATAATAGTAATGAAAACATATTGTGATTTTTTAAAAATATTAATTATTTATAATTGGATAAACAATACAGTAATTGAAACAACTAAAGTAGTCAATAAATAAGTTCATCAATCGGAAATTCATTCTAAATTTTCTTCAATTTTAATATAAATAAATAGATTTAGACAAAGCACTATGGACTTTTGTAATTTAAATGACTTTGGACATTTTTATTTTCAAGTTGAGTGCTATAAAATAAAATTGTCAGGTTGTTTGTTACAATATTGTTTGGATGTATATCTTATATTATTTGCCAATATATTATTATTAGCTTATATTTTTAATTGGTATTAAAGATGTTAGAGATATATGGGTATCTGTAATATCTTTTATGGATATTAATAACTTGTAATTTGTAATATCATAACACACAGCCAAGGCCGACTAAAGGCACAGATTTCTCCACCACAAGTGATGTCATGTTAGTGGAGGAAACCAAGCAAAAGATAAAATAAAATTAATTCTTCCTCAAAATATGAACTTCATTTCCAGCTGTGCTTCAATTATTACGTCAAATCTTACAAAAATTAAAGCACTTTCAATTATTTAAAGGAGGAATTTTTGTCCAAAAATAATCAACTTTCTTCGGCCAGCATCGGAGGGTATAATTGCTTTCAACCTAGAGAAAAAGAGCAAATTGGAATATTTGATGAATTATATTACTTCTGCCAAAAAAAAAAATCACATGGTGATTGGAGGATCATTAGTTCTAAGCAATTAATAAATTATGAAGTGAGGACTATTTTCATGGCCCATGAATTAACACACACACACAAAAAAAAAAAAAATGATAAATCAGTGAATAGTTATTGGAAGTTTCTTCTATTATTAATAAAATTATTTATTTAATTGTTTTCTAAATATTTATTGTTTTCTCATAGTACTGACACTTAGATTAATTTTATATAGCTTTTTATTTACATAATTGATTTGTAACAGCTAATTTAAAACCGAACTAGAAGTTTTATTTTCTGTTGGCATAAGAGACCATGTAAATCTTTTGCTGCCTTAACAAGCCTGCTCCATCTCTGCCTATCTTGGGCTATTTTTTTCCATTTATCTGCACGCAACTCTGTTGCATCTTTGTTGATTCTATCTATCCATCTACTTTTTGGTCTTTTGCCTTCTATTGAGGTATTCATTGTTACATAGAGGCTTTCAGATGGATTGCTATGAGCTACATGCCCTGCCCATCTTAACCTCCATGCCTTTGATAGTTATGAGTTCAGTTTAATTAATCCTTTGGACATTATAAATATTGTAGACATATATTTGGAGGGTGATAACTGTTTTAATCTTCAGGTCATCTTTCAAATATTTTTGTTTAAAATTGTGATATGAAAGTAAAAAAAGTGATAAGTTTTTCTTGTTTGTTATATCCATAGTTCATACTGTTCCATAGTTAAATGACTTTTACTCAATTTTTAAAGTTCTTCACATTGGTATAATAGACTATAATTAAGTATTTAAGGCAAATAAATTACTTATAAAAATAATAATTATAATTATTTATAAAAATAAAGAAATTGAAATACCTTTTACAAGCTCAGGTTTGTATTCAGCTCTAATATGTTCCAAAAATTTATTGTAAAATTCCTTTCCTTTTTCTGGAGCCATAGCATGGTGAAAGTCAAGTTTATTACCTTTAAAAGTATTATAGAGTGTTACTTGACTGAGGCAAAGAATTTCTCCTTCGCAATCTTTCACTGATTTGGACCATCGTTTCCCATTACTGTCTTCAAACAACTTTGAGTTAAGAATCTTTTTCACTCTACCAAACAAAAAAAACTATTTGACTAAATAAAATAAATGTACGTTATGGTAAATGTAATAAAGTGGTCATTTTGTAAAATGACCATTATTATACATAATCACCACTGAAGTTGAATTATAGAATATTCATAAAAGTAACCGGCGATTTCATGCAATCCCTAGTGGTGAATGTGATTAATAAACTGAACAACTGAGTCAGTAGAATAGTAATTGAGCTTAAAATGATCATGACACTTTTTTTTTACCAACAAGATTTTCTAGAAAGTGGCATTACTATAATAAAATTGAAATTATCAGAAATGTGGCAAATAAGATTAAAGATAGTTGGATTAATAGTGTTTAATATTATTTAATTTTTTTCATGGCATTTGTGGTAGATATGTTGTCACTTCTATCGAGATTAGAGAATAATTCATTTCTTCATGGTCACAAATCATTTATTTTAGACATGTTAAGGTATTGTTGACAGGTTTCCTTAAACGGTCAATATTATTGAATATGTTTTTTGTATCTCTTTAGTGTCAATATAATTGCTAGAACACTTTGTTATTCTAAAGTGACTTTGTCTCAGAATAAAGTTATTTTCTATTTCTACTTCTACCAAGTATTTTACTCAAATACTGACCTATGTAGAATAACAAAAAATTTAATTATTACTTCAGTTGATGTCAAAAGATTAACTGAAGTAGTGACTGAATTCCCAATAGTGATTCAATTTGAGTAAACTACTTGGTACTTGGTACTCAGAATAGCATTTGCCCATCTCTGGTTGATTGAGATGTGCTGACTTTGATCTCCATTGTCTTGAGAAACGTGAATGGGTTGAAGAAGGCAGATTTTAAGGGTATTAGTGGGGTTTTGTATGGTGGTGGATGGTTGTATTGTAAGTAGTATTTGTTTTAGTGGTCGTAACGAGTTTGGTAAGATAGAAAGTAGGGATAAATATTTTGATTAGTGTTATAGGGTTAATGTGTTTGATGTAGTTGTATTGGATTGGGGGTTGTCGTTTTTTGTATATTTTTTGGGATCAATAGTAAGTATTAAGGGTGAATTTGTTGAATGCTTCGAAATCAACGTAACAATAATTATAATAGTAAGAGATAGAATATTCGTTAGAATTTGTAAGTACTTAATCAAGGATCTTTATAATGTTAATAGGAGATTAAAATGATTTTGTTGGTAAGGAGGTTTCAAATGGTATAAAGGTTGGGAAAAGGGGTTGGGTATGTGATTTAACTAGGGTATAGATGTGTAGTATGTATAGTGTGATGGATTACAAGTAAAGTAAGTAGAGGTTTGTTGTATAGGGTAGTGTATTTGGTATTTTAACTAACAGAGGATTTTTAATTGGTTGTATTTTTTGGGGATATTTTTTTTAATGGGTGTGATGATGTTTTTTTATTGAAATCATGGATGTGCATGTGTTAGTGTATTATTATAAATTATCTGGGGAAGATGATGGGTTTTCAGGTTTGTGATGGTCAATGAGAGAATATGATATTGGGGTTTAAGAAGAGCGTATAAGAATGTTTACAAATTGTGTTGTATGAATTGGTTACATGGTGGTTTAAGATATTACAACCATACAGATTTCTTGTCTGAAAGAAGTTTGTAATTTTACTTGTAACCTTTGTAAAATCAAGCTTGAGTTTCATTAATTATTAGTGTTCAGTTTATTATATTTTGGACTGGTATGTGGTAGGTTTATGGACATTTCAATGTTTTTATAATTTTTTTTTCTAATATCATATAGAGATTAATGTCCAGTTAAAAAATTGGTTTGTTATATTAGTGATACTCCTTGGTGGTCCCAAAAAAAAATTCTGTCTTGTTGATGGTGGGTATTTCTAGAGTTGATTTAACTTGTGAGTTTAATATTGAAAAAAGTAATATCATGTACCATCAATCATGAGAAGAAGGAACTTACATGTATTCAATATCAGATTTAGTGTCGTTTCTTGATATGCCTATAAGAACACATAATCCCTGTCCAATGGATGATATGACTTTACCATCCGCTGCAACCAAGGATAATAATGAGATATTTAACAAACCATCAGGTCTTATTAAAGAGAAAATAATATTATAGTAGTCAGGGAACTAAGCATCCTCATTTTAAGTAACTGAAGATGAAAATGACAATACTCCATTTAATAATTTTTAATAGCAGGTTTATACCTGATGCATTTGCACTCAGAACCCTTTGAATGACTGCTCTCATATTTTGTTTGTCAAGTTTCAATTAATCCTAGTAACGGAACGATAAAGATAAAATATACCAGTTCTTAAGGAAAGAACCCTCATGAATCTATACTGCCACACAATTATTATCTGTAACCATTCGTAACCTCCTCCGGTCACTAACCACAACTTCGAAGTATCTTGAAGTCAATTAAGAATTAAATATCTTATCATATCTAAATAAATGTAGGGATGATAAAGTTTTGAAGATCACAGATACTTGAAAAAAAAATTGTTGAAATCATGAAAATAAAAAATATATTGCGTCATACACGTAAAAATCGTTTAATGTTTATTTTCAACTTGAGAAATGTCATTTATACCACTAGGTAGTTGCAATATTTGATTCAATCAATGACTTATGAAAACAAGAGATTAATTTGTACTTTTAATGAAATGTTAAACTCTCAACTCGCTGTTTGACCGGTTGAATGTTGGTAGTGGGAGGCGAGATATAAAAGAGAAGCGCCAGTTATTTCTTGGCCACTCTTATAGGATTCGTCTTATAGTAGGTTCCTTAGAGGAAGAATTTCCGTGTAAGTTTACGATATGTATTATGATTAACTAGGAGATATGATGAAATTAAAATTAATTATTTATTACAAGATGAATTGAAATGTGGATATTTGGAAACATATTTTAGAAAATAAAGGAATTTAAAAAATAGTAAGAACAATAAAGAAGATGGATACAACAGAATTCAGTTTACAACAGAATGAGTTTTGATTTTGGTTTTAGCCATTGATTACAAGTTTTGTAACTTTGTTATTTTCAACGTAGATGAAAATTATTTTAAAACTTAATTCCTGTTTCCCGCTCCAAGTAATTCCTAAAATTACTTGATTGTAAACCTTTAAGGTCCTAGAATCATATATTTTATTTCATAATTTAAAAGCCAGTTTTATAGGAATATTTTATAAAATAATGAGATAACATTAATTTAATGGTAGTTAACTACTCTTTTTATTTTATTATTTATATAAAACTGACAATTTCATTGTATTTTTTATATTCTAAACAACATTTTTTGTATCTGTTACAGGCCTCAGACTGTGATATTTATCGTTAAGGATGAACAAATTGAACATATTTATTTTCTACGCCTTCCTCGCAGGTTAGTTACTTATTGTTTATTATTGTAAGGTTAATGAATGAAAGTTGTTATCCTTGCCTTGGAACGAACTGATGTAAGAGTTACAGTTGGAGGTATTCCAGATCGGTCAGATGGTGTAGCCGTCGGACACTTGACACCATCTGTAACTTTTTCACTTCCGAAGAGCTAATATGCACCAATTTCGAATGGAACATCCATCAAAGTGATTGATGATTGATTCGTATACCGAAATCTATTGGGAGTCGATCCTTGACACAGTTCTTATTGTATATTACAAATATTGATTATAGAAACCGAGTTCTTTTATGACCCGAAGTACCATAACTGCTTCCCTTTCCGGGTCGAAGCTGTTTCTGTATTCTCGAATTGATTCTAGATGAATTTTCTTTCTTTTGTTCATGTGATTAGAAGTATTTTATAATCTCTTATTTATTTATGACGTTTTTATGAGCGGTTTTCTAATTAAAATAATTATTCATTTAGAAAGTGTCGAAATCTTAAATTTATTTTCATTATTCATGAACGAAACCAACAGTATGTATTACTTTATGTTTAACAATGGCTGAAGTAATTTACAGCTTTTAAGCCTAAATTTAGTGCTTTGATTTAATATAACACAAGTATTTTTTTATTTGTTTTTGAATGTCAATATGCCATGGTTCCATATCATAATCTTAGTAACATTTTCAAAGGATTCATCTATGGAACTTTCACACATCTATATATAATCAATTTTTAGTAGGACATACATCGAAAACTAAAGTCTTTTATGCGAGGGGTAAAAAAAAAAGTGTTGTCCTATAAAAATAAATTAATACATTTAACTGTAGTCTATTTAGCGCGAATTAACTGACTAACGGATTAAGAATTATCACTTGTTAGGATTTACTGAAACCGTAATCATTCGTGTTTACACCACATGACACCCTTCATTCTAGACAATCTAGATACGAATAAATGTTCTTTTAGAATATTCATTTATCTATGATATACTTTGTTTTAGTCATTTTTATATTTAATATAGGTTTTGCTTTTATTACATATTGGTTGAAACTTAATGTCCCGTAGTATACTGGGTGTTGCAGTATTAAATCTCTAGACCAATACATATCGTTATTTTATGTTCTGTTTATAAATAGCGTGTCATTCAATCACATTAATTCCATAACTTCGACTTTAATTTTGTGCATTCTTTCAAATTAAAAACAAATAAATAATAAATGGATTTCGTTAGGTAATACTTATGAATTTAATCTTGGTCTTATTGCGCTATTTTCAAGGATCGGTAATGGATCATTTCCTCACATCTTTAAACGATTTTTTTTGTTGGATTTGGCTAAATAGTGATCTGTGTTAATCACTTTATCAAAATAGTATATTTTTTCGTGTGATCTCTCGTAACAGTATGGAAAACTTGGAGAATTCTTGACGTCCACCATATCGTTGCATGGAAGATAACACGGCGCAGATGAGTCAACTTAATCACCCTTCTATATTTTCTTACGCGTCCTCAACCTTTAGTAATTTATTTTATGTTTATTTAAATTCCTAAGTAAATTCCGCTATACAATAGCGTCATTGTGGGCGTAAAATACAAATAAGTATGTTTAGGTGTAAGTCTTGGGTCCCTCAAGTTACAGTCGCTTTAACTCACAAAGCTCCTTTCTCCGATATGAAAACTTTACTTTAAAAGATAAAATATTTTTCAAATTGGGAACGATACATGAAATAAAATGGATTCTATTTTAATGAGTTCATCTTATATTAGGCTGAAATTTCAAAAAAAAATTAACATTTTTTCAAGTATTGTAGAAGTTTTTATTTTAGAGTTATTACATTTTAATTACCAGAACGACTATATATTGTTTTGTTTTTTTTATGTTTTGGTTTGTTAGTAAGAAAAATATATATTGAATCAATGACTAACCAAGAATTTCCATATTTTTATTTTATTTTCATTTTTAGCATAAGTTGAGGTTTGAGTGGTTTCTCCCCATCATCAGAAAATTTCTCTGAAAAAATATACAATCAAGCATACCTCACATGAAGTTTTATACTGTTACTTGGATATTTTTAAAACTTGTTTAATATATTATTTGATATAATTACCCCTCTAATCTCTGCTGCTTAGTTACGTCAGATATTATATTGAATAAAATAAGTATTTTTTCTATGTGATGTGGTTGATTGTGTATTTTTTCAGTAAAAAGTTTAGCTGATGAGAAGAGCAAATGCAACAAATGTCAACTTTATGAAAAAATTAAAATATTAAAATTCTTGGTTATTTAAAAACAAAATATTTGAGCTATAGTTATAATAATATATAATTTTACAGAAAAAATTTAGATAATAAAATAATATCGTCATATTTAATGTTCTTTCAGCCTAACTTTTGGGTCATCACCCGGGCTACTTGTTAAAAAAAAAAACAGGACGAATAACGCTAACCATTTTTTTGATATTAAACAAATATTTATATTTTGGATATGAAAGATTTAGTTGGATTTGGCTATAATTTTTCGGTGCAATATTTTTTCCGATTAATAATTATAATATTATATTTAATATAATAAAATTATAATTTATATTATATAAAATTAAATATATCTATTATATAAAAAAGTTTTTAGTGAACGTGAATTTTATTTTACATATAAAATAGAATAATAACAGATTAAAATGCTTAATTAATTTAATGATAAAAACTTGAATTTTTTTTTTTTTTTTTTTTTTTTGGCTGCTTACAGTATATTCAAAAATAATACAAACTGGACTAAAGAATCGATGTCAATTTGAACAACAAGCAGTATTATTAAATGAACTTTTGTATAATTTGTAAAGTGGGGATTGGTCCGCCGTTAGGTGGACAGGGGGTGCACCTCTAGTTATATATAATTTATAAATTTTATTATATAAAATATAATATAGTTTAATTATAAATTATATTATATTTTAAGTAGAAGTTTGAATAATTAGTTGAAGGTTTCACGTTCTTTTGGTTCGTAATTTGTTCACTCATAGTTTTACAATTCCCTGATGTTTTGAAAACAATATCCATTTAAGCTAAATTATAACCTTGCAAAAGGATACCTTCTCAACCACTTTCTCCGTTTTGAATCCTTGTTTAGGCCTTAGTTGATATCGATTAGAGTGCGATGAAGCGACTAATGCTTCTGATGAAACCATTTGCATTGCGTTAACTTGGGGATCCTATTTGCCTGACCTCATTTTTATTTTATGAAAGATTCTCTCATAGTTAACGTAATTCATTTCTTCAAATCCAATATTGATTTTCCTATATCGTTTATATTCCAAGTAAATGACCTCCAAGGAAAGTTATCTAGCGATAAGGAAAGCGGAAAAATGAAATAATGTAAATGCCTCCAGCCTCCGTTATTTTTAGTTATTCGATCGAAGTTTCCTTTTATATCATCTTCAATAATGCACTTTTTATTTTCTTGTATAAAAACCAAAACTTATTATAAAAACTTGACGTATTATATTCAGAAATTATTCATTTGTTACTTTATGAAATTATATAGATGTCCTATGACTTGTATAGCACCTTGGAAGGTTTTGTTTAGGGAAACGTGAAGAGCCGGTTGTTTATTGTTGTAGAAGAGAGTTCACTGCCATGATGTTTGTTAACAGACCTTTGTAGCCCGTTAATGATAAATAGAAAACAATGTGAAAGCCGTTTATCTAAAGAAGGTGAATCGAAGTACTAGATATTAGATTAAGTTCTCATTTTCTAATGTTATCATTCCACAATCTTCTTCAATGGCGAATGAAGATTCGAAAGATGATACTGATGAAACTTTAACGAAAGATGATGAAAACTTTGAAATGAATACATTACAGCTTGAAAAAGATGTTCGAAAATACTTCTTTTTTAAGCCCAACCACCGCCATATCTGGTAGAGGGGCGAGGAGTAGGGAGGGGAGATTATTCTAGAGGTACAGCCAACCCTATTCTAGCCTCA